GTCCCCCGTCCTGCGCCCGCAACAGCTGCACCAAGCGCCACGTCCCTGGCCTTTGCTGCCAGGAGCGTCACACGGCCGAGGTACACAAAGAGCCGAGTGAATAAGAAACGCACGTATGTGGATACTGTCTTGAAGGGAGCCTAGAAATACACCTTTAGGGCGTCTAAGAATAACACCGGATAATGTCCGTGCAGCACCGTCAAGACATCGTAAGGTACGGGTTTCGATTTCTATTTTTTGGTTGGGTCACTGGCCTCTCAATGTCCAATTTTCCCTTCCCTCAACGGTGAGTTTGCCCCCCCCCCCAATCTTCTGGAGCGTAAGAACTAGCAGGATATTAAAAATGGCGGTTAAAAATTACATCAGTTTCAAAGAAGGTTTCTACAAATTTCTCCGTACGTAAAAGGAACAAAAAAGTGCAAACTAAGATGTCGTGTTCAGATGAGTGCGGCAGGTAAGTGCTGCCTCAGCTAGCCACACTTCAAAAGCTTGATGTTTGTGCTCTACTCACTTGGGTATGTTCTGTTCATGGTGTATGCTGCATGTTTTTAATGACAATATTAGTATGTCTTGCTCACTCTGACCAAGTTTCATGCTATTATCTGAGTGTTTGGCCCTATCCAGCGATGCCTCAGGCTCTACAAACTGCAGCAAGTTGTTTTTTTTTGCCATGGTGTCTTATCGGAAACAAACCGGTAGAACACCAGCACCCAAAAACGTGATCGATTTACTAGCCCGCTACGCTCGCAAGCCCCTGAAATGTGCCAGCCTTCACTTCGACGTGAATATTTGATCGCATCGTTGCACTTACAAAAGCCTGACGATGGACACCAGCCGTCTGAACCGAAAGCAATCAACGCCCGACAGTGGCCACAGAAACAGCACTAGGCGTGTCAAACATGCCTAACATGAGTGCTGCGCTGTGACTTGCGGCCCACTTCGCAGCCTCCAGGCGGTGGTTTACATGAGAGCCTTCAATAGTCGCGCACGTCAACTTCAGAGCAGGGAGAAAGCTGTAGGTGTATTAAGGGCTAGGTTTCCCACGCTCAACACCTCTCTCCCAATCCTATTTTGCCAAACACGCCCCTGTGACGGTGGGATTTAACCAGCGTGACACGCTCGTCACCAGATGACGATTGCTTTAGGTGGGCAATGTTCCATGTCTGGTACTTACCATGTACCATGTGCCAGTTCCATGTCTGGTACTTAGGGCCCAATTCCCAGCAGAGGCATGGTCGGACCCACGATTTACATTGGTCGGGCCCCTGGGTCAATGAGGACCCCTTTTTCGGTCAGGGCGCCGTGCTGCCTTACAAGGGCCCTGTATTTGCAAGGAACCCAGATTCGGCCCGAGCAGTGTTCGAGAGGCCCGCAGAGGAGCCCGAAGGGCCTCTCTGGATCGATCGGGATCGAGATCAAATGCTTGAGTGGAGGGCACGGAGGGCTATCTGTACGTCACATCAAGCATGGATCCCGACCCCCAAGGACGGATCCTCAAATGCCAGTCAGAGGACCCATTGCTCCGATTAAGGACCGCTGGAACACTGAAAGCCTCTGTTTTGACCAGAGATCACCGAACAGTCGACTCCGTGTCGCTCAGAGCCCTGGGTGCCCACCGGTCGTGCCTAACAGAAGGTTCTGTGTCGGCAAGGAGTCTTGAATCGGCCAGGGGAACGTTTGCTGAACAGGGACAGGATCCCAAAGGCCGAAGGGTCGCTGGCGTTGGTCGGGGCGCTCTGACAATGAGGGAAGATATGGAAACTTGCGATGAGCGCACCCAGTGAGGCAATGGATAGGGTCTGTGTTAACTAGCACCCCCCCGTACCAAACGCGGCCATCCACCCTTTTTCAGCCAAGTGCCGTCGAACTGAAGTCTCTGTGGCAATTATCTCACCACCTGCGGCGATAAGGTGTCCTGTTGCGTCAATGAGGGCCCTTGCGCCGATCTGGGGCCAAATGTCCGGGTCAGGGGGCCTCCGGCGTCAGGCAGACATTTAATGCATAAGTGACCCCTCGAAGGACTTCCATATGGACCAGGGGACACCGCCCCTTTATCGCCGGCATTACAGCTGGCAGGGATCCGCGCTTTTGCGGAATGGCCTCTAAGTCCCTGACCAGAAATAGAATGTACCCCAAGTGTTCTACCCACTGTTTCTCTTGCCCGGAAAAGATAAGGTGCCCAAAAGGACGCACCAAAAAAAGCACCGGTTGGCGATGCAGTGCTAATCCGTTCTGTTCCATACTCCGTTCCATTTATAAATCTAAAAAATACACAGGGAAGCAAACTACTAGATTGCCTTCTGTGCAGAGTTACGGACATCCTGAGCCATTTAAAGGTACTTGCTTCTAAAACGTAATCGTATTCATCAGCCCGTCGGCCGACGTCCTATGTTGGCTGCGGTCCAACGCCGGGCGGCCTACGGAGACTGCAATACCGAGAGTCGGGATATGTGTTGAGAAGCCTGCGAGCGCACAAGGTCAAAACCATTATGCGATTTTTCTTTTTCTCGATTTTAAACAAAGCGTGATATGCCCAGATGAGAATGGGTTGAACATGTCAATACAAATGTATGGCCCCATTCCAATCTGCAAGCTACGTTCACATCGTCTAGGTTCAAATAGCCCTGGACAATGAAATAAAAGCTCTGGACAGAAAGATATCGGAGCAGCCCCTGAGTGCCGCTAGCTTAGAAGATGTCCACTGAGCCTTTGTGTAATGAAAAGCGCCGTCAGGTTATTTCACACAATAATTTGACGTTTGGTTCTTCAGTACATTGACTTTAAAATATAATCGGAGTTGCATCTTTCGGTGGCTTCTGGCTTCTGTTCCAGTTCGAGATAACCAATGAGATACCACGAATAAAATCGTGCCCTCAGAATTACCTGGGCCAACCCGATTTTTTTTTGGGGGGGGGGAGGGACGAGGGGATAGCTTTCACAAGACACGCACCTTTGATCACCCATGTGTCTCCTCCCCCTACCACATTACCAAGACTCTGTCTGCGACGCTGCGTGAACAAGCTCATTGATGAGCATCGAGAATGCGTACATTAACCCATTCGCACGACCACTGAGGACTTTGCTCAATAAGCAATGCTGCTGAAATAAATCTGTGCTGCATGTGACATTGCACTCACGGGAGACTCATTTGTCACATGTTCGAACTGAAGCGGGTGAGGGTCGCTTTCGCTTTGGAGGCGCAACAGCTCAGAATAGTTTCCCCAGAAGAACACAGGCTCCCGGGCGTGTTGTTTTCAAGAGCGGCGAAGAGGTGCGCTTGACAGGAGGGCACCGACCTGAGCGCACTTGGGGAAAGGTTGATTACTACGCTCTGAAATGATGCGTGGAGGAGAGAAACCAGAAAATGGAAATATAGATGGGTCGACAGTTCGGAAACACGCCTTTATCGGAACATTAGCAGAAGTGAATTGAAGATTGCCTGCCGATGATCCTACAATATTTTTCAATTAAAAAAACCCATCAAACCACAGTTTTTACAGGACACCAGCATTCAGGGGATTGAACGAAGAACAATTGCCAGCCATTATTACGACACATTGCCTATGTGATAGCAGAATGCGCGAACATACGTGTGCATGTAAACGAATTCAAGCAAAGAGGCATCACGCATCACACTTCATTCAAACATGCAAGCAAGTTGAAATAAACAGGCATCACACACCACGCATGAATTATACATGCAAGCGATTTCAATTAAACAGGCATCACACATCACGCGTCAGGCATCACCTACAACGATTTTAAGCCAGCACATATTGTGTATATATATATATATATATATATATATATATATATATATATATATATATATACATATATAAGCATCACACATAAAGGCACACGTCACGTTCGCATAAGCGGCCATGATAAGCCCTGCATGTTAAGATTTGGTCGATGACTTTTTAAGAATAAATTCACTTATTTTCCTGTCTGGGGTATGAACCCTCTGCCCCATTCAGAACTCAAAATCATCTACCGAGGACAGGACCACCCAGACAGAAAAAATAACCGAATCTATTCGCATTAAAAATTGGCGACCAAGCATTAGCATACCAAATCTTAACATATTCGGCTCATCGTGGCCGAATATGCGAACGTGATACATGAATTATGATTATGTGAACGTGAATTGGTGGATGTTTTGTGCCAACCGTTGCGAAAGGTTCGGGTCATGGGCTGTTTGCAAACTGCTATATGCCTGTGGCGGGCGTTTTAGGTGACCTTTGACCCCATCCGAGGTCATTATCTTCTCAAAGACAAATAAATCAGCCATGACGTGCCGATTGGTCGAGTTTTTGTAGAAATCGTTTCCATAGGCTTGGAGCATGATGTCTGCAGGCTGAATTTTTCGGTTTGGGGAATTTCGGTTACCTCCGATGTGACCCAGGTAACTACCGTATGGTAGGGAAAGAACACCGGCCAAAGCGCATCGATTGGTGAATGTTTCGAACGGAACGGTGGGATAGGCTCAGAACTTAAGGTTACCTGTATCCATTGTTGGCGGTTTAGAGTGTTTTTTGATGAGCTGCGACCTGAGCCAAGATAGGCATCTCCGGGACAGGTTAAGATATCGAACATAGTGTCTAGATTGTGGTGGATTTGGTGTCGACCAGGCTTTGTCAAATCCATCAGTGAAGGTTTGGCGGTGGTTAGTCCCATAGGCTCGGAGTACGGGGTCGTTCACAGGTTTTGTCGGTCATTTAACCCTGCTACCTGCGGTGCTATCTGGCGCATTTCTCACTGCGCCACTGAGCCTGTTCGAAGAGATTGCTGGAACTCCAGTGCGTTCGTTTGATTGGTCAGTCTATCACTGCTGGTTATGTGGTTGGCTGTATGTAGAAAACTCACACGATGATGGATATTTGTTGAACAGCGCTATTGTTTGAATATTTGGCGCCGCACCGTGTATCACCTTCCGCGCGGAGTACGAATGTTTACTCATTTCACGCCCTGATTGTGCGATGCAGGCCTCGGTTTTCTTTGATGTTCCGAGCTGTTATCAATTGTAATACCCATCATGGTTGTATTCGACACATTGTGATGTTCATTTGCATTGTTATGGATGCAAGCAAGGCCTGTGCCTTATGATATGGGCATCGATGCATCCTGCTACAGGTCCTTCATTAATGCTTACATGGTGTAAAGCAATGCATTTCTTGGTGACAAGATGCTTGATTTGTAATGTTTTCTAACTTTATTGAGAAGCTAAATCTTTGAGCAAGATAAGTCATATGTTTAAATCTTTACACTTTCCAGCATAGGATGGTGTCATACCAAAATATTGCACCCAGAGGTGCGGGAACTAATGTGCTGGGGGGGGGGGGGGGGGGGGCTTGACCCCAGACATTTGGGACAATTCAGCACTGAGCGCCCAGCATGCATGGAAATGAATGGACTCAAAATGTGTCTAAAATCCCCACCCAATCATGGCCAAACTTGCTCCTCATTACATTACAAGTACAAGAGAATGGTGGGACCAGTTGTCATGGGACTCAAACCAAGCTGTTTGGTGGTGGTTACAAATGCAGTGACAATGTGATATTGAAAGCATTCAGAGATGAGTAGAAATTGACATTCAAAATGGCATCAGCCAACCTCGAAGAGCTTCTGTCATGCGCACAACTAGGACTTTTTAGGACATGATCCCAGTACATTTGATGTGCTGATATCTTGGTTCATACTACCAGACCCCAACTAGGACATTTTAGGACATGATCCCAGTACATTTGATGTGCTGATATCTTGGTTCATACTACCAGACCCCAACTAGGACTTTTTAGGACATGATCCCAGTACATTTGATGTGCTGATATCTTGGTTCATACCACCAGACCCCAACTAAGACTTTTAGGACATGATCCCAGTACATTTGATGTGCTGATGTCTTGGTTCATACTACCAGACCCCATGTAAGATACTTGGATAAGGGTGACCTGATGACCTGAGACCCACCTGCATGTGCCTCTGCTCTGGGTTATGCTTTTCTCAAGAATTGACAAAGCAATGCATTGAAATGATTAGGTAGCAAACAGGTTATGTCCAGTTGAAGCATAGCATTACACTCAGGTTTGACAGGAAAATATCAGTGTTTAAAAGATCTTCAGCTACCAGACTTCACGGTTTGAAAAAACTAGCATGCCTTAGCTAGTCAGAATTAACAGGCTGCCAATTGCCTCATCAACACCCATGTCTTTTTCTGATCAAGATCAGACTTGTTTAGCTGGATTTTAGTTTGTACCACCATTCGTAGGTGCTGATCTGTTTGATTGCATGCCTGGGTCTGTTTATATGATTCATTGCAGTGAAAAAACTTTGATTTGTGGAGATGGGAAGGGTAATGGTATAGCCCCAGAACATGGTATTGTTTTTCCTGTAGCCTAAGATTCTGCCACCCACAAAATCTTGTTTGCTCACAAATGAGCATGCTTCATTGGGGCAGTTGTGATCATAGTAGTATTGGTCTAGGATAAACAGATTATGATGTGGATGCAAGCTTTTTCTTTGTCAGGGTGCATGTAAGCAGCTATATTGATACTGGTGAACACATTTCCACTTTCACTAGCTGCATGTTTTGAGCGAAAGACCTTAAGGTGCCACACAGCCATTAAGTTACAATTCTGCCCACCTGACTCAAAAATATATTTATGGGCATGACAGAACCCAATCTATAGAGCTCACGATTGCTTTAAAGTCGATCTGTTTCCAGGCATCATGTCCCACTTTGAGTTTATCATACCCATCCAGCGTGACGAGCTGCAGCAGCCGCGTGAGGCTGGAAGCTATGTGGTCAGGCACGTGTATGAGCCATCAGAGCTGCAGTCATCTGTACATGGTGAGTGTGGGTTGGCTGGTTCATGAACTGCTGTGTTATATCCTCACTGGAAATGGACACAGCCTTAGATACTTGCCCCATGGGTCTGCACTTCGTAAAGGGGAGTGCACATAACCTGTCAGGCTGTTATAATTGCTAAGACATTATGGCACAGATATGGAAAGGGACATTGATTGGCATCCTGGCAGCTTCTCAGCTGAGATTGTGGATATCTAGTGGTCCTTTGTGTGCATTCCTTGCATTTTGCATGTTGCCATTTGTTTAATTTCTGTCTGACCCTGATAGCAGGAATTGTGTGAGCATTTTGCTGCAAATTGTGGTTTTCACACACCCTGTTTTGTGATAACTGTCAGTTGTGAATTTGGGTTTCTCTGCTTTTTCAGATCTTGTCGTCGCCCTGTCAACGGATCGCAGCGAACTTGCCCTGGAGAAGTTCGACGTGCTGTACAGTTCCATCATTCATTTTTCATCCCTGAAGACTGCAGACCAGGAGCAGATATGGGAAATAGTGAACAAAGGCAGGTTATGGTGACACGCCACAAAGCCAGACCCGCCTATTTGATGTTAGTCATGCGTAGAAGGCAGATACTGAGCTTCCCCAGGCAGATGTGTGGACCGCTGTTTGCCGAGTCCTTATGTTGAACATAACCTATCTTTGGTATGCCAAGAGATGCTGGGTGCAGAAAGATGCCAAGCCAAGCTATCACTGAGGTGTATTACGAAAATACGTTAGCTTTTTATCAGTGCCTCACAATTAATGACCCGTGAAAGGACTTTCCCTATCGTCAGTTATCTCGTGCGGAGTGCTTCCTTTTTTACGTCATTGCCTGTCGTCTGAGCGTCTCGCTGTGGCGGTAGGTTACGTGTACCTGACTGCCGACCTCTCGGCGCTGCTGGAGTCCGAGTCACTTGACCACGAGACGCGGCTCAAACATCTGAACATGCTCAAGATGTCGACGTACGTGCTGTGCCAGCTGGCGGGCGCCTTCGAAGACGCGGCGCAGCGGCCGGCAGACGTGCTTATGGCCAACAAGGTGAGGGCCTGCCCCCGTTGGTCCGGGACCTGGGGACGGCTTTCCTGTATCGGCCCTGCCAAGCGCGCTGCTTTGAGAATGTGTGACCGTGTTGACGTGTCAACATCTGTTCTTTGCAAGCTGTTAGCCGTAAAGAGGCATTAACTAGAGCAATCGGAACGCCCTCAGCTGCGACCACCAGCTGATCTTTCTCGGCCTCGTTGTCATTAGAGCCTTACGATGTACTTAACTACTGAGGCTGTGTGACGTTGCGTGCCTCTCCCCTGGTAGGGAGGGCGGTCACCACGAGGAGTCGAATCCGATACCTCTGGCTTCCTAGACGCGCAGCTTAACAGAAAGTAACCGTTGAGCCGCCTGTCGTAACGCGCCGTCTGGCGCGCGCAGGGTCGGAAGCGCGCCGGGCGTCCGGCGGCTGACGAGGGCGACTGGGACGCGCAGCGACTGCGCGTCCTCCGCCAGCTGTACGCCGTGCTCCAGCTGCGCCTGCGCACGCTCTGGCAGCCGCCCGTGCCTGACGAGGAGTTTGTCAAGTAGGCCGCCAGACAGGTCCCCGGGACGCTGCCGGTCGTCGCAACGGTGGCCGGTGGCCGCGGGGTGGCACCCAGGCAGGCGCTGTTGAACTAAGCAACAGTGTCCCCAATCTGTCCATTTATGCAACGCGCTCTGATCGGCCACGTCTCTTTAGTTCTCTTTGTGTTTCGATCCGCATGGAATGTGCAATGCACGCCGCTAGCTTGCGATTGATGCCGACCTGTGGCCGCCGCCTGCGGGACGGGCAGGCGCTGTCAGGCGCGTCTTAACGCGCGGCTGCGGCGGGCGCAGTCCCGCGCTATCCGACCTCCGCCTGCGACGCCCGCAGCCTCACGCCTGATCGTTCGCCGCCCACAGCACCATCGGCAACGTCTGCTACCACTTCCTTGCGCTGCCCAGTGTCGGTCACGTGCGCAACAAGACGCTGCTGGAGAGCATCAGCCAGGTGCTGGGCGCTCTGGTGCGCTCTTACGGGCACGCGCTCAGCTGCGGTCTCAAGATGGTGCAGGTGTGTGCCGCGCCGGGCCGGGCGGCGTGCCACGCCCCTGGGGGCAGCTGGGGAAGGCCGGATGTCCGGGCACGGCCTGCGAGGAGGGGCTGGGTGACTACGCGGACTGGTCGGGACTGTGAAGTGCCTCGCATCTCGGCCGACAGGTGGCGCCCTCTGTCGTGTGACGCAAACCTGGTTTCCTGAGGGTAGGATATCTCTATAGTCCTGAAGTTTAACGGGCCATGTAAGAGGTGGATGACTGCTCCGCACTGTGGTCGGTATCCAGGGACGGAAGACTGGCGTCAGTCCCCTGAAGGACGTCCGACCCAGGACGCGAACACAGGCGCCGCTTGGCTGCGCTCTGTTGGTTGGCATGCTGTGGTAAGGCCGTTGCTGCCCACACGCGCTCCGCCGCCTTACGGTGGTGTTGCGCCACCTGCGCTGTTTCCGTCGTACGCTGACCCCGCCGCTCTGTCCGCTTCACGCTCCGACCTAGCCACGCCATCTGTCTCCGGCCCCGACCCTCCGTCCTCCCTGACCCTCCTCCTGGCCCACCTCCTACCCATTCGTCTCCGTCTTGTCCGCCTCAAGCTCCGACCCGGCTGTCCCGCCCGTCTTCTGACTGGCCCTGCCGTGCTGCGCCAGATCCTGCAGCAGTACGAGCACGCGCCGGCGCCTCTGGCGCAGTGCGTGGTCACCATCGCCACCGAGTTTGGCGGCCGCGGCCTCGTGAACGAGCTGGTGCGCGAGATCGCCGGCACGGACGCCGCCGAGCTGACCAAGGACGGCTCGGCCACGCGCCACTACGCCGAGTTCCTCAGCCTGGTGGCCGTGCAGGCGCCGGACCTGGTGCTCAACAACATCTGCCTGCTCATCGGTCATCTGGACGGCGAGGTGGGGATCCCAGGGAGCGGCGACGGCCGGGTGGGGCACACACTAGCTCGTGCTGCGCTGGTGGGACGCTTTAAATGCTGAGGAAAGGCGACGGCTTAAAGCTTCTTGCTATGCAGCGCCTTAGTGATACTTTGTGTGTCTATAATATGTATATCTATGGCAATTTGTGTATTTGTAATATGTGTATCCCAATATCCGCGTAGTGCTCCTTCGTTGCAAGCAGAGTATGAACGGACTGGAGCGTCTGCGGCTGTGAAATGCGAGGTGGAAAATTTGAAGGGTTGCTCTCCTCCGGCACAAAACAATTCTAAATGCATTGCAAAGAGCCGGCGACTGTTCACAGTCACCCCTGATGACCGGTGTGTGGCCGGAACTGTCCACAGTCACCCCTGATGACCGGTGTGTGGCCGGAACTGTCCATAGTCACCCCTGATGACCGGTGTGTGGCCGGAACGTCCACAGTCACCCCTGATGACCGGTGTGTGGCCGGAACTGTCCACAGTCACCCCTGATGACCGGTGTGTGGCCGGGACTGTCCACAGTCACCCCTGATGACCGGTGTGTGGCCGGAACTGTCCACAGTCACCCCTGATGACCGGTGTGTGGCCGGGACTGTCCACAGTCACCCCTGATGACCGGTGTGTGGCCGGGACTGTCCACAGTCACATCTGATGACCGGCGTGTGGCCGGGACTGTCCACAGTCACCCCTGATGACCGGCGTATGGCCGGGACTGTCCACAGTCACATCTGATGACCGATGTGTGGCCGGGACTGTCCACAGTTACATCTGATGACCGATGTGTGGCCGGGACTGTCCACAGTCACCCCTGATGACCGGCGTATGGCCGGGACTGTCCACAGTCACATCTGATGACCGATGTGTGGCCGGGACTGTCCACAGTCACATCTGATGACCGGTGTGTGGCCGGGACTGTCCACAGTCACATCTGATGACCGGCGAATGGCCGGGACTGTCCACAGTCGCATCTGATGACCGGTGTGTGGCCGGGACTGTCCACAGTCACATCTGATGACCGATGTGTGGCCGGGACTGTCCACAGTCGCATCTGATGACCGGTGTGTGGCCGGGACTGTCCACAGTCACATCTGATGACCGGTGTGTGGCCGGGACTGTCCACAGTCACATCTGATGACCGATGTGTGGCCGGGACTGTCCACAGTCGCATCTGATGACCGGTGTGTGGCCGGGACTGTCCACAGTCACATCTGATGACCGGTGTGTGGCCGGGACTGTCCACAGTCACATCTGATGACCGGTGTGTGGCCGGGACTGTCCACAGTCACATCTGATGCGGAACGCCGTGCTCTCAATCCTTGGCGACATGGTCAGCCTGGTGTTAAACGGCGAGCAGCTGGAGCCAAAGCCGCGCGAGATTCGGGATGAGTTCCTCGACAACCTCGAGCAGCACGTGCATGACGTGCACGCCTTTGTGCGCACCAAGGTAAGCCAGGCCGGCGCGGCGGTGGGGCTGCAGCCGGGGCCGGCGCCGCCGCGGCCGGCCCGGTCGAGGCTGTTCTCGCTGGGTGGTGGAGGCGGGGGTGGCAGATCCGATTGCTGTGTTGGAAGGCCGCTGGCAGATCGGTGGGCGCGGGAGCATCACAAATGCGTTTGGGATGGAACGCACAGCACCAGCTGCCTGTCCCACGGCTGCTCCAGAAATCCACGTAATCCAAAATGATGTCCCATGTGTCGCTTGATCGAAGGAATAAACAGGCATTCGTTGCATACAATTTACATTGATCGTTCCTTTTATATTAGCGGTATTGAGTGTGTTTCTGCGTATGTTTGGTGTGCCGAGGGTGGTGTGTCTCGTCCGGGTCACTGGCGGCGCCAATAGCGGCGTGTCTGACATTGCGCCGTGTGTGCGTGTGCATGTACGCGCGTGCGTGCGTGCGTGTGTGTCGGCAGGTGCTGCAGATCTGGCGTAAGCTGGTGACGGACGGCGCCGTGTGTGTGTGTCGGCAGGTGCTGCAGATCTGGCGTAAGATGGTGACGGACGGCACCGTATGCATGTGTGTGTCGGCAGGTGCTGCAGATCTGGCGTAAGATGGTGACGGACGGCGCCGTGTGCGTGTGTCGGCAGGTGCTGCAGATCTGGCGTAAGCTGGTGACGGACGGCGCCGTGGTGTGCGTGTGTCGGCAGGTGCTGCAGATCTGGCGTGAGCTGGTGACGGACGGCGCCGTGTGTGTGTGTGTCGGCAGGTGCTGCAGATCTGGCGTAAGCTGGTGACGGACGGCGTCGTGTGTGTGTGTGTGTGTGTGTGTGTCGGCAGGTGCTGCAGATCTGGCGTAAGCTGGTGACGGACGGCGCCGTGTGTGTGTGTGTCGGCAGTGCTGCAGATCTGGCGTAAGCTGGTGACGGACGGCGCCGTGTGTGTGTGTGTCGGCAGGTGCTGCAGATCTGGCGTAAGCTGGTGACGGACGGCGCCGTGTGTGTGTGTCGGCAGGTGCTGCAGATCTGACGTAAGCTGGTGACGGACGGCGCCGTGTGTGTGTGTGTCGGCAGGTGCTGCAGATCTGGCGTAAGCTGGTGACGGACAGCGCCGTGTGTGTGTCGGCAGGTGCTGCAGATCTGGCGTAAGCTGGTGACGGACGGCGCCGTGTGTGTGTGTGTGTGTGTCGGCAGGTGCTGCAGATCTGGCGTAAGCTGGTGACGGACAGCGCCGTGTGCGTGTGTCGGCAGGTGCTGCAGATCTGGCGTAAGATGGTGACGGACGGCACCGTGTGTATGTGTGTGTCGGCAGGTGCTGCAGATCTGGCGTAAGCTGGTGACGGACAGCGCCGTGTGTGTGTGTCGGCAGGTGCTGCAGATCTGGCGTAAGCTGGTGACGGACGGCGCCGTGTGTGTGTGTGTGTGTGTGTCGGCAGGTGCTGCAGATCTGGCGTAAGCTGGTGACGGACAGCGCCGTGTGCGTGTGTCGGCAGGTGCTGCAGATCTGGCGTAAGATGGTGACGGACGGCACCGTGTGTATGTGTGTCGGCAGGTGCTGCAGATCTGGCGTAAGCTGGTGACGGACAGCGCCGTGTGTGTGTGTGTCGGCAGGTGCTGCAGATCTGGCGTAAGATGGTGACGGACGGCACCGTGTGTATGTGTGTGTCGGCAGGTTCTGCAGATCTGGCGTAAGCTGGTGACGGACAGCGCCGTGTGTGTGTGTCGGCAGGTGCTGCAGATCTGGCGTAAGATGGTGACGGACGGCACCGTGTTTATGTGTGTGTCGGCAGGTACTGCAGATCTGGCGTAAGCTGGTGACGGACGGCGCCGTGCCGCTCAGCCGGCAGCGCACGGTGCTGCGGCTGGCCGCTGGCCGGCTCCAGGACAAGTCGAGCAACGTGCGCCGCGCCGCCCTCCAGCTGGTCACCGCGCTACTGCAGGCCAACCCGTTCGCCGCCAAGGTGCCGGCCGGGCGGGGCTCGGCACTCGGCCGCGGGCGACGCGACTTCCAACCGCCACAGCGAGGGCTGGGGTGGGATGGTTCCCGGGCTGTCCCTGCGTGCTCGTCGCTATCTGTGCGAGATTGCGCGGCGAAGCACACCGCGCAGCCTGTGAAGAGGTCTGTCTGGAGGATTGTTGGCGGCGGTCGAAGTGGGACGGATCCCACCAGCCGCGTGGGTGTGTCGCCTGTTAGCACCCGCTTAACAGACGGGATGCTCGTGCACGCTGCAGCAGGACTGTTGTCATGGTACCGGCGAGGACACGTCCGATGGCCCCGTGGCGCCCAGTGGGACAACGTACGGTGCTCGTTGGGCAGTAATGAGGAGTAGGTGATACACACTGCAGTGTGGCCGCACATCCCGCCGGTATTGTCTGAAGGTACTCGCCAGAGCCTGTCTGATGCCGGGCCATTGGATTTCTGGTTACCCTTTGACCCGTTCTCCCGTGCCATGGCCCGCCGAGGCGTGATCGCTTGGTGTTATAATCTGTCCCCAGCTGCCCGTGGCTGAGTTAGAGGAACAGTATCGCACGGAAAAGGCAAAGCTGGCTGAGCTGGGTGTGGATGAGGAGGAAGAAGAGGAGAAAGAAGAGGAGAAAGAGGAGGAGGAGGAGGAGGAGGGCGCGAGTGATGACTCAGGCGAGGAGAAAACCGAGGAGAAAGCGCTTGTCAAGGTGCTTGCAAAGGCCCAGAAACAACTGACGATTGCCTTGAAGAATGAGGTAGCAGGTACGTTATTATTGCCGATGGGTGTTGACCTTAGATGCTCAGGTAAATGAAATGATTCATGGGCGCTGTGATCAAAGTGTGCGTGCGTGCGTACGTGCGTGCGTGCGTGCGTGCGTGCGTATGTGTGTGTGCGGTGTGGTGTGGTGTGCACGATATGGGAAAAACGCTTGCGCGCGTGTTAGAGACGTACCGCGGCGGCGAGTGTGTGGTGTCTGCCGCCGCCTGTACGTACCGCGGCGGCGAGTGTGTGGTGTCGGCGGCCGCCTGTACGTACCGCGACGGCGAGCGTGTGGTGTCGGCCGCCGCCTGTGCGTACCGCGGCGGCGAGTGTGTGGTGTCGGCGGCCGCCTGTACGTACCGCGGCGGCGAGTGTGTGGTGTCGGCGGCCGCCTGTACGTACCGCGGCGGCGAGTGTGTGGTGTCGGCCGCCGCCTGTACGTACCGCGGCTGCGAGTGTGTGGTGTCGGCCGCCGCCTGTACGTACCGCGGCGGCGAGTGTGTGGTGTCGGCGGCCGCCTGTACGTACCGCGGCGGCGAGTGTGTGGTGCCGACCGCCGCCTGTACGTACCGCGGCGGCGAGTGTGTGGTGTCGGCCGCCGCCTCTGCCGTGCTCTGACGGGAGCGGTGTTTGGCGCTCCGTCCGCAGGGGGCGGCGACGCCTCGCCGCTGCTGGCGGGCCGCGAGCGTCTGCTGGCACTGCTGTGGGCCGACGGCGGACTCGCGGAGGCTGCCCATCTGCTGCTGGCAGAGCCGCGCCTGCTACCGAGCCTGGCGCCGGACACAGACGACACAGAGAACACAGCCGACAGGCGGGACATAGAGGACAGGTAAGGCACGGCGAACACACCGGACACTGCGGACACGGCGGACGCACCGGGCACACCGGGCACACCGGGCACACCGGACACGACGGAGAGGTGGAGCGTTGGCATCACGCGCGGGGCAGGTGGCGCGCTGTCACCGGCGACATGCAACACTGTTACGGGGTGCGCTGTACACACGTAATACTTAATGGATACTCGGGGCGCATGGTGCCTTGTTCATGACGAGCAGTGCCCTATAGCCCGCTGCGTCTGTGTTGCTTCCTTCGGATAGGCGCTCACAAACGGCACCGTCTGCACAACGCTCACTAATCCACTCCTTGTTCGGTTACGGGCTGAATACAATTGGCAAAACAATCAGCTCTTGGGCATCATAACTGTTCCATACAAGAAATGATCACTGATTTGCGCTAATCGGGAGGAGCTAACTGGAATGGAGTGTCGCTTGATTGGGCGCCGGGCTGCCAGTGCCGGGTTGTGCGACAGCGCCGAGTCGCCGGCTGGCCCGACCGCCGCTGGCCGGCTGCTGGCCGCGCTGGAGGCGCTGGCTGCCGCCGGGGCCGACTGCCAACACCCGGACCGGCAGCTGGAGATCGACAAACAGAAGATGATGGTGCTCTACTTCAAGGTGCGACCGTCGGCACACCGGCGCGCGCGCACGCGCGCACTCTTTGTGCTCACATTCGTGCCCTCTTTGTGCCCACCCGCTCTTGCAGACAGGGTTTGCCGGTTGCGTGGACGTGTCTTGCATATGCGGACATATGCGTCACGTGGTGCGGTATCAGGTATCGCGCGCCCTGGCGTTGTTGACGACACTCGTGCGCCCACCTGGTGCGTGTGACCGGAGCGTGAGACCGTGGCCGGCGTTCTGACAGGACTCGGTGGCGTTCGCCCGGCTCATAGACGAGGCTATCCCGGGCATCTGCGGCTTCCTCCGCTCGGCGCAGACCACGGACGTGCTGGAGGCCGTCTCGTTCTTCGTCACGGGTGAGCGGTGCCGCGAGCCGCGGGCGCAGACGGCGCCGCGCTCCAGCCGGTCGCCGTGGCGCGTGCGTGCCGCCCGGGAACCGCGGCCGGCTCAGCACGTGCACGTGAGCTCGGCGGCTACACAGTAGGCTAGCCGTAACCAGCTGGTGTTGGTGGTGCTGAACAGCGTCGGACGGTGGTCGATGCGCTCGACAGCGAGACACTCGCCGCCGCCGTCTGGTTGAGCCGCCGGCCGCCGCCGGTGCCGGGCGCCGATCGTGAGTCGCGTTCGTCCCTCTCTCGCCAGCGTTCGAGTTCGGCCTGCTGCAGGCGATGGTGGGTATCCGCCAGATGCTGTCGCTGATCTGGAGCCGCGAGGCGGCCGTCAAGGAGGCCGTGGTGACCGCCTACAGGCGCCTCTACGTACCGGCCGAGGGCAACGAGAGGTGAGCGGCCCGGCCTTGGCGGGGTGCGGCCGGCTCTCCGAGCGGGACGGGACGGCTCCGCAGTGCAGGCGCCGGCAGGCCCGGAGGCACCGACGCCGATGAAGCCCGATGTGCTGGCGTCAGTCGGTGCAGTGACGTGGGGTGACATGTTGGCACGGATCGGTACACCGAGGAGCGCCGATGTGCTGACGGGGCGAGAGAAACAGTCTGACCTGAGCTGGCCTGCTGACCTAGCCGTTGTCGCTGGCGGCCGTTTAAGCGCAGCTGACACAGCGTGCCGTTCTGACGTTGGGCGTGTCCTGTGCGCTGACGTGAGCGCTGGTGTACTGGCGTGGGCCGCCTGCCGCCTCGGGCCGGTGCTCGAGCGCGGCTCTCGCGGTGCTGACCCCGTCCGTCGCCGCACGCCAGGTTCCGCGCGTCGCAGGCGGCGGCCAGCCTGTCGGCGCTCTGCGAGGACGCCTCGCTGTCGGAGCTGGCTTCGCTGGAGGAGCTGGTCGTGCAGTTGGTCGGCTCCGGCCACCTGGGCGCAGCCTTCACCCAGCTGCTGTGGGAGCGGTTCACTGGCGGCGGCGGCGGCGGCGGCTCGCGGCGCCCCGCGCTGCTCCTCATCGGCATGGTGGCAGGGTGAGGGGCGGTCCGACCGGCGCGCCGCGGCCCGCGCTGTTGGGCGTGGCACGGACGGCGGCGGTGCGGCCAGAAGGCGCTGTCTTATCTCATGGCAAAGACCATGTGCTCACGGCAAGGGATGCGTCGCTGTTATGTTTCTGTTATCTTTTCATAAATGTGCCTTCTTGTTTTCTAGATTTTGATATATATATATATATATATATATATATATATATCGTGCTCAGTTCGCTCCCATTAGGCCCTGAAGTGAACACGGCCGCCCCGTGCGCGGGTCCGCCCCGTACGATCCGCCGCTGCCCGGCGGGGCAGCTCGCCGGGCAGCGCAGGCGTGCGCCGCGGCCGGGCGTGACGCCCGCTCCGCGCCGCCGCAGGGCGGAGGTGAACGTGGTGAGCAGCAACATCGACCTGCTGGTGGAGCACGGACTCGGCGGCGGCGGCGACGGCGACGGCGAGAGCCGGCCGACTTCAGGCTGGTGCAGAGCGTCTGCGTGGCGCTGCTCAAGATGGTGCCGAGGAGGACGTCCGCCGCCGACGGGCCGCTGCCGCCCGCCAGGTGAGGTGGGGCGGCGGTGGCGCGGCCGACGCCGGCGCCGTCGACCGTGCGTCCGCCGTGAAATGGCTGTCAGCGCTGCAGTGGGTGGCACTGCTAACACCAACTCAGTCGCGAAATGGCGCGAGGCGTCACGCTAGTGGTGCGGCGCAAGCATGTCGACTCATGAAGTGATTTCAGATACGTCTAGACTTGACAACTGAGGATAGAGCTTCAATCTTGGGGCAGCACAAGGATGATGCGCGACGCTTGGTGGGGGAATGGGGGAACTAACGGCCGGGGAATATATTATACAGTTGGCATAGGATGACACGGTGTACCTGCCGAGGGCCGAGAGCCGCCTGCCCCCCCGCACGACAACCGACTCCACGTTGGCCGCGCTGGCCGCTGTCCAGACCACACTACACACCGCTCGGTGCAGTCTAACAGCGAAGGTCGCCGTGTCCCGTGTGGACTGGCCGGCGTGACAGGTGCTGCCGCCCCCGCAGGCTGAGCGCTGACCACCGGCTGTTCGCGCTGCTCGCCGACATCCTGGTGGACGGTCTGCAGCGCACCGCCGACGTCTACTACACGCCCATGGCGCAGTCGGCTCTGGACGTTATCTACCAGGTGAGGGCGGCCGTCGGACAGGGTGTCGCTCCACTGTAGCAGAGGTGTGTCCAAGTCAGCTGGCAGTACCGGGGCCGCGCAACGGCCGTGGATCAGGGCGATGGTGCTGAGAAATGGGCGGAAGGCCTCGCTGCGCTCGTTGAGGGCTGACGGTTGTGACGGTCTGCAGCTGGCGGACGCGCCGGAGCCGCTGGTGGAGACGCTGCTGGGCCGGCTGAACGCGGCGGCGGCCGGCGCTGACAGTGACCAGCTGGCGCGCTGGCTGGCCGTGTGCGGCCACGTCGCCCTCTGCCAGCTGCTGCACCTCGACACGCACGTGCTGGCCGAGCTGAAGCGGCGCAACCGACTGCGCGAGGAGGCGGCAGGCCTGCAGGGCACGCCCCGCCAACGCCGCCTGGTGAGGCAGCGCAGCAGCTGGTGTTCCAGATGGAGCCGGGCATCGCTCGCAAGCTAGTCTGAGCTGCTATATCACTAGGTTAACATCAGGACGGGTTTCGGCTTGTTCGGCACTGCTGCCATTTGACCTGGATCGTTAAGGTGTGGCCAGGTGCCACTTCGGACGGTTCTGAGGCAGTCATTGGGTGTACCAGCCCGCGATGTGCGTGCTGTGACGTGTCAGCCATCGTTACCCGTCCAGATGCACTTTTGAGAGGCTACAGGGCAGTTATGACGGCTCCTAGAGCGTTTGAAGGGTAGGTTGTAAGCGCAACGAAGTGAGTGAGTGCTCCCTGACCGTTGCGGCCATTTTACTTTGTTATGGTTCCGGGTCCTCTGGGAGCCGTGATGAAAGCTTCAGGGTCTCAGCGAGGTGTTCCCAACGGCCCGGTAGGCGGCGCCGAGGTCTCGCCGTTCGTGGGGTGTCCCCGACTCGCCGTTCGTGAGGTGTCCCTGACTAGCGCGACCTGCCGCCCGCCCCAGTCCCAGGACGGGGACGACGACGGCCTGGCGGGCGCCGCCGCTGACGACGCCGAGGCCGAGTTCATCAGTAACCTGTGCGAGAACCACGTGGTGTGCGGCGACGGCCTCCTGACCGCCTATCTGTACGTAGCCGGGTCGGCATGTGCGCTTGTGCGCGCGATGAAGCGTGGACGGTCGACGGTCCAGCTGATGTACACTATTTCGGTGTCGTGCGAATGCAGCTGGCAAACGCATTGTGTTCGATTTTGCGGTGTCCTGGGGTATGTGAATGCAAGGCGCACACTATGCGCGTGCCTTGCGTAGTGTGTGCTGGCTTTCACGCCTGTGCAGTGCCATGCCGTCGTTTGGCAATGGGTGATGTGTGTTGCTACACCGCCGGACGCTGCCGCCTGTGACGTGGCAATGTTGGACTGTCGGGTCTCGTCGCCGCGTCCCTCTGCAGCCGATCATTTCCCAACGGAGCGGGCTGCCAGCACGCGTGAGATCACGAACATCGTGCCGCACGCCCGGTGCGCGCTGGCGGCGCGTGCCGCCGGGGCGGTGCGCGGTGCCGCGGTGACGTGCCGGCCGGCCCGACAGGCCGCTGCTGGTGGAAGTCAACAGCCGGCCGGAGCGCTACGGCCACCGCGGCCTGCGCGCCGCCGCCGCGCTCGCCCTCTCCAAGTTCATGCTCGTCTCGTCGGTGGTGTGCGAGCAGCACCTGCAGGTGGGCGACCATGTCGGAGGGGCGGCGGGCTAAGCGGGACCCTGACGTGATGGCGGACTTTGTGATGTCACGGCCGGCTGGCCGCAGGACATGAGCCCGACACGGCGCCGGCTGACAGGCGCGGTAAGCGGGCGCCCGGCGGATGGCTCGGAAATAAACCGAACGCTTCTGGTGTTGTGACCGCGCGAAGAGTTGTTCAGTTAGCCCTCGAAGTATCTGCGCTGAGAAAGTTACCGAGGTAAGAGCGGCGAGCGAGCGGGGCGGTGTGAGTTTTGAAGTGATTGTCTCCACCCGCGCCGTTGGGCGCTGAGCGGCGTCGCCTCTGCTGACGGCGTTACCCGCCTGGGGCCTGCAGCTGCTGTTCACCGTGCTGGAGCGGTCGCCGGACGACGTCATCCGCTCAAACATCATCGTGGCTTTGGGCGACCTGTCGTTCCGCTTCCCCAACCTGATCGAGCCGTGGACACCCAACATCTACGCCAGGTGAGGAGTCGCTGGTTCCGTCGCGCGCCAAGCCGCCCTGCCGGCACTGAGTCCCCGCGCACGCCAGGCTGCCCTACCGTCACTGAGTCCCTGCGGCACGCAGGCTGCGCGCGCCAGGCCGCCCTGCCGTCACTGAGTCCCCGCGGCACGCAGGATGCGCGCGCCAGGCCGATTCGAGCTCTTCATGATCATGAAGTGTGCGCGTCCCGAAGCCAGCATCAGCACACCCTGGTCCAGTGTCGGCCTCGTGGTGTCATGGGCTCCAGATGGCGCTGCGGACACGTGCACGGTGTCGTGTCACCGCTAGTGCCTCAGAGACAGATGCTGGGTCTGTTGCAAACGTGGGCTTCATAGGACGAGTTTCTGGGATGCGTGGTATGCCGATGGTGTGCGATTGTGCTCGAGTGTTAACAGCGAAGCTCTAGTAGCATGGGGCTGCACGGCATTTGGTTTAAAGGTTATGCTGTAGAATACTTAAACACGATAGCACTCAGAATGCGTACACTTTCCAGTTTGTGTTTTAACGATCATCTCCAATTTACTCAATGAATACTGGCTGACGCGGAAAAACCGAGTGCCTTTAACACGATTAAACGAAAACTGGCGCTAGATTATTAAGTTTTTTAGTTATTCAGTGTATTTATTATGGCGGAAAACACGAAAACGCCATGAAACCTCAAGGCGTAGTGTTGGTCCTGCTTTCCGCATCAACTCATAATATTGGTAATATTAAAGGTTTATAGACCATGACATTTCTGGTTATGCTTCTATTAGCGGACCGAGGTGAGATCCGTCGCTGATGCCGGGAGAGACCCCCGCCTGGCGTTCCACGACAGTCGCGCGGGCCTGCGGGGACCCGCCGCCGCTCGTCCGGTGTGGCCGCCTCGTCTGGGCGTCCTGTGACCCGCCCTCCGCTGCTGCCGCTGCCGCAGGCTCCGTGACAGCTCTGTTCGCGTGCGGCGGACCACGCTCACCGTGCTCACCCAGCTGATCCTCAACGACATGGTGAAGGTCAAGGGCCAGATCTCGGAGGTGGCCGAGCGGCTGGTGGACGACGAGGAGAGCCTCAGAGGTGTGTGCTACGGGGCCAGGGCCGTGTCAGGGTCAGGGTCAGGGTCAGGGTCAGGGTCAGGGTCAGGGTCAGGGCCGGATTGGGGTCGGAGTCAGTTGACTTGGAAATACTCTCCCCGAAATACCCTCACCATTTTCGCGGCCGTGTGGCTCAAACTAGAGGAATCTGGGTCTTAAGGAGGGCAGGGCTGTGAACTGCACCGAAAGGTCATCAAGATGGCTCTTTCAGTTAAAAACCCCTTAAGCTGACGTGATCTCCCTGCGTCGCTCAGCTTTGCTTTACTGTGTGATTAACCAGATGTGTGCTCCGTGTCAGGCATGTCGAAGACGTTCTTCAGTGAGCTGGCACACAAGGGCAACGCGCTGTACAACGTGATGCCCGACATCGTGTCCCGGCTGTCGGACCCGGCCGCCGGTCTGCCCGAGGAGGACTTCCGCACCGTGCTGCAGTGAGTACCGCCTATGGCATCGTGTCCCGCCTGTCGGACCCGGCCCCGGCCTGCCTGAGGACTTCCGCACCGTGCCGCAGTGAGTACCGCCTCTGGCACCGGGTCCTTCCTGTCGGACCCGACCGCCGACCTGCCTGAGGAGGACTTTCGCACCGTCCTGCAGTGAGTACCGCCCCAGACATCGTGTCCCGGCTGTCGGACCCGGCCGCCGGTCTGCCCGAGGAGGACTTCCGCACCGTGCTGCAGTGAGTACCGTCTCAGACATGGTGTCCCGCCTGTCGGACCCGGCCGCCGGCCTACCCGAGGAGGACTTCCGCACCGTGCAGTGAGTTACTGCAGTGAGTACCGCCTCAGACATCGTGTCCCGATTGTGGTGCAGTCTGGCCATTGCCACTCCAGCTCTCACACATGTATATGGGAAACGCTCGATGCTCGAGGTTACGTTACACGCGTGCGGTTTATTCCGCTTGGTTCTAGGCTGGATGCCGGTACTGCGTTTCGTCGTCGCCTGCAGCAGAGTGGTGGGAACATGGTGGCGCTAAATGCCCTGAGATGTTGAGTTGGCTGTTGTCACGAAGCAGGGAAGACGTTTTTTTAAAAATATTTATGCCAACCCTTTTGATCGGATGGATTTTTGAGATCAGCACCCACGCTAGGCAGTGTCTGGCGAAGGCCTGTTCCTCCCACCCTCCCGCCACCATCCGATGCTGAAATTCTGGGTTAATGACAGAATTTTGCTGCGAAAGCTCACCGTACCGTAACGCTTGGCACAGTCCTTCCTGCTCTCTGACGTCACCTGGTCTTGTAGCGCGGTCGCTGCCACCGGCCGCGGGCCATCCCGGTCAGAGGCAAGCAGCGGGCGCCTGAAGTGACTCGAATTCGCCCTCCGGGGGTGAATCGGAAGGGAGGCGCTCTAACAAACTGAGCAGCCAGATGAACGCAATATCCGTCCCGGTGGCTCAGTTGGTGAGAGCGTCTGCCTTCCGATCCACCCACCCGTGGCAGGGTGGGTTCGAGTCGCTTTAGGGCGCTCGCTATTTGCCCTTGGCAGGTATGGCCTGCGGCCGGTGACAGCGATCGCGCTAAAGGTTAATCGACGTCAGAGGGCAGGACGAACCGCGCCGAGCATTGCGGCACGTTAAGCTTCCGCCACTTAATTTTGCCGTTGCCTGGAATTGCGCGATCGGATGGTGGTGATCAGAGCTCACGCACCACGCACTGTTTGGCGTGAGCGATGATCCCAGAAACCCATCCATTCAAAGGGTTTGGATCAAATTAAAAAAAAATAAAAAGATAACCCCATGACTTAGTGGGAAGGAGGGGCTGCGGCCTTCTGAATGACAACAGGTGTGGGCTGTTGACTTTACTCTCGTAATCGCCAGGTCTCCCTGTTCTACCCGTTCAGTTACACTTCAGATGACGGTGCGTCCACCCTGTCCGTGTCCGTTTTGATTACGCGTAAGCCGTTGTGTGCTGGGCAGGTTCGTGCTGGGTCTGATCCAGAAGGACCGTCAGCTGGAGTCGCTGGTGGAGAAGCTGTGCCACAGACTGCGGGCGGCGCCGGAGCCGCGTCAGTGGCGCGACCTCGCCTTCTGCCTCTCCCTGCTCAACTTCAGGTAAGGCGTCAGGTCTCGTGACCTCTCCCTACGCACTCAACCTCAGAGACCGTGACTGACCGCCGCTGCTTGTGGCAGGGGGGCAAGTATGAGTACGCTATGGCGGAAATCCGGAAGCATGCGACCTCCTGGGAAATCAGGCCTGCTAACAGTACTGGCAATCAGACAACGTTGCTACAACCAGATCCTTTTCAGTGACCGCTGCATTAAGAAACTGCTCGAGAACTTCTCGTGCTTTGCTGAGAAGCTTCATGAAAAAGACGTCTACGACTGCTTTACGAAGATAACAGGCGCTGCTAAAAAGGCGGTACGTGTGCGGGCTGCAGCGCATTGGAAACACCACACATTGTGCACGTATTCAAGTCAAGCCACTTCATGCTCTTGCTCATGTAATGTATGATGCTGTGCGAATTCATGTCTTTGTGGGGCCCATGCTGCGTATGATTTCAACATGCGTTGGTGTGTACACAGTCCCTGGCACTCATCGCAACTTACTAAGATATCCATGTTTTAAAAAATGTCCTTGGGGGTTGGTGCCATGTTGCATGGGGAGTAAGGCTGTTCCCATGCCTGCAAGAAATTCTCACGACTACACGGTCCGACCAACTAACCAGACGACACACCATGTCAATTGCGCCTGGCCGCCACCGAGCTGTGCTGGGTCACACCAGCCGCCGCCTCCGACGCGTGCGAGCCACAGCGACCGGGCGTGGGCGCGGCCTGACGGTGGCCCGCGCCGCAGGTCAAGTCCAACGAGGCACGCTCGGCCGTGGAGGAGCTGGAGACGCGTCTGCGCGAGGCCCACGAGAAGGCGGTCGAGGACGACAACGCCGCCTCAGGCGCCGTCCGCGCCGCAGCCGCTAAACGGCCCGTCGCCGCCGCCGGCCCGCGTGAGTCGCACTGTTAGCAGGATCGCGCGAGTCACGCTCCCCACCAGCTGCCGTGCGCGGAGGGATGGCTGGAGGTGGTCCGTGGCGGACGACTCTGCGCGTATCTGTGTTGATGCCATGGCTTACACCGCCGGCCTCTGCCGTGCAGGTGCGGTGGTGTAGTCTTCAAGAAGTCAGCCATCGTGTAAATGCGGTCTTAAGTTCGTCCTAGGGTTTGGGTGAGCTCTGCCGTCGCCGTCCGGTGGTGAGGACTGGGCCGACGGTGGATGGGAGCCCCCCCCCCCCCTCCCACCCTGGCCGTAACGGTGAGGCCATCGAGCGTGACCCGTCGCCCTGCGGCAGGCGATGACCGCGGGACCGGGCCGCCGGACCTGACGCCGCGCCGCTCGGCGCTGAGCCGCGGCCGCGCCCGCCGCCGCCCGGCCAGCTCCAAGTCCGGCTCCGAGGACAGCTGCGGCGCCGGCTCCGAGGACAGCTCTGAGGAGGGCGGCGCCGAGCCGGCGGAGGAGGAGCGGCCGCCGCCGGGCGGACGGCCTCGGCGCGGCGCGCGCGCCCGACACTGAGCGGCCGCCGGCTCTGAGCAGGCGCCGTCCATTCCTGTCATCCCTCGCGCTTCCACGTGACGGCGAACACCGTTCCTTCCGCGTGTCTGTGTAATTGTGCCGCTGTATCTGCTCTTGCTTGCGTTTCTGCTGTTTGTCAAGTGCAAGGGGAGAATGAGGAAGACCTATGCCTGCGCAGTCATTCGGACTGTAGTGACCACACACCGCGTACTCCTGTCCAGCGAGCGATACAACCATTTGGGCGCTGACAATGTAGGCGTTTGTGAGGTCATCAGGAGTTGGGTTGGGCAGAAGGAGTTAACAATACATTACCCAGCCATGTAGCACTGGTGAAGTGGGTTTAGCCTGGCGTTAGGCGAGCAAGGTAGTTCAAAAGCATCAGTAGTCCGGCAGATCGTTTACACACTACACTCAATAGCTTGTAACAGTGAAGCAGGAATACCTGGCGAGTCGTATGTCCGACGCCGGCAGAGCATTCAGTTTTGTACGCTTGGAGTGGTTCACCGTATTTGTGATGGTTTGGTTTTAGCAGAGGTCTACAGCTTTTGACACGATTAGAGCCAAAAATAAGCACGTTGACTGTTTCAACGCTCATATTTTATAGCCATCCATCCGCGATGAAGGTGCGCAATGTGCGCTGTTTTGTCTTGACTGACAACAGGCGTCACGTGCGTCTCGGCGTGGGCTGTCCAGCATAGTTGTAACGGGACAACTCATGAATATTGCAAGAATATTTGAGATTCTCAAGGACTTCAGCGTACCTCAAGTGTGTAACAATTGTGAAGCAAAGCGTCTGACTTTGATTGATGTGACTTTCATGTAACCATCACGTAACATTGTGTGACACTCGGGCAAAAGGCTAATATTCGAGAAGAAGAACATGGGATATGAACCCTGACCGACGTTGTGGGACACCCATCCCATGATACGGACCCGGCGGTTAGATGTCTCCGCGTTGACGAAATCCTGCACGCCGCGCCACAAATCAAAACGACATGGTGCTTTGCATGTGTTCGGTTACGGTGATCACGGCCCCAGTGTCACCCCTGGCAACGAGCAGCTCCATTCGTTGCTGAGTTCCCTGACTTCGGGACTCGCCACCACTGGTCTCAGAGTTCGACTCACGCGCTCCACTTGTCCCTAACTAGACGGAACTAGGTGGGTCGGTCGCCTCGTGGCTCTGGCGGCGCGGCGCGGCCCGGCGTCCGTGTCTGAACTGCTCCCCGTGTGACCAGCCAGCTGCGCAGGGACGCGCCCTGGGAGAGGTCGCTGTGTTATTCTCTGTTCGGGGCCTGCTCTCCACGCCCTCCACCGTGAGCATCGATCGCGGCAGGATGGCAGGCACCCGTCAGAGCAGCCGGAACACTGTCACGAACCGTCCGATTGCGGGATTTGAAAATTAGGTTCGAGACGTTGAAAGTTCAGTGCCACGGTACCATGCGTATGATTTTGATGATCCCGTGTACGGTGCGGACGCGAGCAGCGCACGCCAATAGCACGACGTCCGGAAACGTATTTTACGGGCTTCTCACCAGTCCAAAATTATGTACAGCAGCTTGTGCGTGTTTGGGTTTGCGTCCCGATAGTGTTTGCATCCCTTTCTCTCCCGTTGTTAGGAATCGCACGCTCAGTTTCTTTGACGCCTCGGAGAAGAGGAAAGTTGATTACAGAAGTGCACCACGTCAGTAGATTATGGATGTCAGGGATGTGAAATATTACGGTAAGTTGTGTAGGCCGCAAATGTAGCGCGCAATGCATCTCGGCTGCATCGACAAGCGACGACGGAGCGTCAAAAGCTGTTCACAATAATGCACACCATGCTACACGGCTGGGCAAAGTACCTATATTAAGATGCAGAAACATCGCGGGAGATTCCAATCAAACGAACGCAAGGTTTTGTTGCTGAACCACACTCACTCGCTCCTCACCTAGCAGCATGTCCATCAGGCGCTGCCAGTCACTGATGCCTCCGCCGTTCAGCACAGCGCATCATGTCCATAACGCGGACACCATGTTGTATTTGGTTCATTTACAACAACCACTGACTTCGTACAATATGTTCAAATTATTTACATTGTGTAACAAGAAACTTGAATGGCTGGCACCCCCAACGATGGGAAACAGGACCAGCTAGCCCTGGCTACGAACACTGGCCTCGCTTTCGCGCTCACCTTAGCATGCTGGCAGACATGCACGCAACGCGAACACAGATGCAATGCAAAGTACAGTCAATTGGAATTGTGTTTTACTCTAGGGCAGAGCCGGGCACCACAGCACAGAGAGACGCCACCTTACGTCACCTTAGCCAGAGAGGCGGCAGTGATGTCCGCGGAAGGAAGGCTAGTGGTTCCTTGCGAGGCAGTGGCTCGAGCCGGCGCCATCCGACAGGACAGCACCCGAGGGGGGGGGGGGGGGGGCGGGGACAGCTCGGTCGAGGCCGAGACCGGTGCGCCATGGAGCAGGCAGGGGAGACGAGGAGCGCGCAGAACGCGGCTCGACGCGCCCGCTAGCCGGCGGTGAGCTGCGCCGTCTCGCTGGCGTCCTCGATGTTGAAGTCGTCGAGCTCGGCGGAGGCGGGGACGCTCGCGGTCGGCCGGCGCGCGCGGCGCCGGCCGACTCGGCTGCGATGCCGGCCGCGAGCGCAGCCGCAGGTCCAGCGTCGGCTCGTCGCCGCCGCCCGGCTCGGCGAAGAACAGCAGACTGTCGGCGTCGGCGTCGGCGGCGAGCCGGCCGGCCTTGCGACGATAGTGGCGCCGCGCCGCCACGCCGGCCAGCGCCGCCACCAGCACCACGCCGCCGACGGCGATGGCGGCCACCGCGTACAGCGGCAGGCCGCCGGCCGGCCGCGCGCGGCTGGCGTCCTGACGCGCCTGCGGCAGCGAGTTTCCGTCGCCGCGGCCCGGCACCGGCAGCTCGTTGGATATGTCCGTGGTGCTGGACGGCGCTCCGGGCGTGGTGAGCTCGGCTGGTCCGCCGCCCGGCAGCCGGCAGCTCGTTCGACATGTCCGTAGTGCTGGACGGAGGCGTAGGGTGGGGTGGGAACGGCGCCGGTCGCACCGCTGGTCGTGGTGGGACCGGCGGTGGGGGCGACCGCGGGCGGGGGGGAGGTTACGGCCGGCAGGGTGGGCTGCGGCGCGATCTCCGGTGTCGTCGGCGCCGCTGTCGTCGACCGCGCCGCCGGCGGTGAGGTCTGCGCTGTTGACGGGGCTGAAGTTGGTCTTGTCGGCGTGGTGGGTGCTGCAGTGGACGCACGGCGCGTCGTCGAGGTTTGCGTTGTGGTTGTTGTTGGCGTGGTGGTCGTGGTTTGTGTTGTAGTCGTAGTCTGCGTGGTCGTGGCTTGTGTTGTTGCGGCTTGCGTGGTCGTCGTGCTTTGTGTTGTGGTTGTGTGTGGCGTTGTCGTCGTTGTCGTCGTTGTCGTCGTCGTTGTCCGTGTTGTCGTCGTGGGCCGTGAAGTTGTAGTCGTTGGCCGTGCGGTCGTCGTCGGCCGTGGTGTCTGTGGTGCCACCGTGGCGTCTGTGGTGACCGGTGCGGGCGAGGTCGTGACCCCAGCACCAGCGGCGCCCCCCGCCCTCGGTGCCACGCCGGCAGCCGTCGACGGGGGGGATGTGGTCGCCCCGCCGCTGGCACCTGCCGACGCCGTCACCGTGGAAACGGTCTCCGTTGTCGAGTTGTCTGTAACGCGCAGACAGCGTTGGCTGAGTGTCCTTACTTTAAACAGGTTTATCACAAAAAGCCTTGTCCACGTTTCACGCTTGGTTGCAATTCCTGGGACAGTCATGGCGGTTTTATGATGCGCGCCAACTGTAGAAGTAAAATGTATCGTGCGAAGAGTTCACAATCGTTCTTTAGACCCGATTCCAGAGGGGAGACACACAGTGCTGACCAAAGGTCGGCTGGCCGTACCATTCGCCACGATTTCGTCCTCGTTACAGACGCTGAAGTAGTCTCGGCAGCAGTTGTTGTCCAGCAGGCAGTCGTTGGTGCAGCCGCAGAACCGCGCCGGATCCCTGCGCTCATCACAGCGGCCTCGGCACGACACGGCTGTCCCACAGAGTCGGAGACGGTTACCGCCCGCACCAGAGCCGGAGTCGGTTACCGCCCGCACCAGAGCCGGAGACGGTTACCGCCCGCACCAGAGCCGGAGTCGGTTACCGCCCGCACCAGAGCCGGAGTCGGTTACCGCCCGCACCAGAGCCGGAGTCGGTTACCGCCCGCACCAGAGCCGGAGTCGGTTACCGCCCGCACCAGAGCCGGAGTCGGTTACCGCCCGCACCAGAGCCGGAGACGGTTACCGCCCGCACCAGAGCCGGAGTCGGTTACCGCCCGCACCAGAGCCGGAGTCGGTTACCGCCCGCACCAGAGCCGGAGACGGTTACCGCCCGCACCAGAGTCGGAGTCGGTTACCGCCCGCACCAGAGCCGGAGTCGGTATCGGCCCCGAAGCTGCGGCACGGGGACGGCTTCCCGCGGGTCGTGGCATCTGACCAGGCCACAGGACCTCGTTCGGAGTGATTCGCGGCAGCGTGGGACGGTCGTTCGGCACCGATCAGGCGTGCCATAGCAGTACTATCACCAGACATGTCGTCACGTTGCCAGCAAATGGGTGAATATTGTGGAGGCCGTTGGGTTCGACCAGCGGCGATGTACCTGTGGTGGCGGGGTCGACGGTCTGTACAGTAGGCGCGGGCGGCACGTCACACTCGTCACCGTGGCCGAGGGCTACGTCGTCGATGGCGGAGTCACTCATGTAGCTCTCTCCGCGTACACCCTCGATCACAATCTGCGCGTGGAAGGAGGCAGCGTGGTCAAAAGGCGTCGAGCACCAGTGATCCTCGCGCCAGCCGCCACACCACGTGCGACACTAGAGCCGGCTCTGCTGGACTTTCTTGCGTTTGTCAGGCTCAGCCCGAAGCTGAAGCTCTGCTGCGGCTGCGACACTCGGTGGTCCGGCCCGGAGTCTGACCTCACCTGGAAGTTGGAGCTCTGTTGCGGCAGCGGCAGCACTTGGCGCAGCCACTGATCGCCGGCATTGTGCGACGTCTCCCAGGCTGGTCCAGCCAGCTGGTCCAGCGACTGATCCACGGGCAGCACGTACACGCGCAGGGAGCCTGCCGTCGGTGCGAGCCGGTCAGCGCGGCACCGGCGCCGACCAGCGGGAGTCGGGCTGGCGCCGTCGCCCAGCCACGGCATCTACCACGGCACGCGCTGACCAGGCGCGACAGGCGGGATCCGTCGGTCCGAGCCTCGCCGTGATCGGAACCCTATCCGGAAGCGCGGCTCTATCCGGGCACTGCCCTTTGCGACTCGGGCTCGGGGGAATCGGTTCTTGCCACATATGCATTGGATTCGGCTTCAGTGTTAGGCTCAAGCATGTATGTATTCAAATCAGACAGTCTAGGGCTCGAGATCGGGCCGTGGAAACCAAGGACTCGGGACGAATACTCAGACTAGACCAAAATGAGTATGACTTTGTGAGATAAGGATCGTTTGAAAAAGATCACGTGGGATGAATACCTTCCGGGACGCTACGTTACATTTGGTGAGATTCGGTTCGAACACAACCCATTCGTATTTCAAACACTGACGCTCTTCATCCTTGAAACTATTTGGATGTGTTCTCAGCGACCCGCAGGATTAGGAATTTATGCCGTCGATGTCATTCATAACTTCATATCCCATAGACTCTGCGCCTACTGATGTTCGCAGCGCTCCGACGACAAAAGTTCTACGTGACTTCACGTAGAATCTTTGCCACATGCGCAGTCCTATTTCCGCTTCTTGGTCAAAGTGGGATAGAAATAGCACAATGTGCTCATTTCTAACCAACTGAATTTGCGCGTCCTAGCGCCGACGATGGGCAGACGAAATGCGCGTTACACGTTACATATAGCATATTTTGCCACTTCCACGTTTAGGAGCACGCGCAGAACATGCGAGCATAACGCTAATGTCTCGCATGCGCAGTTACTGCCAAAAAAGTTACGAAGGTGTAAGCAGGAAAACGCGTCGCGCTGCCAGCACGTCACGTACAGATTCTACGCCACATCACGCAGAAAATTACATCCTTGATGCGCTGCCAACACGTCGCTCGTCTCTGAAGCTATGCATTCCAAACAATTCGGCACAGGTCCAAAGGAATAGAGATAAAGTTGGAGTCACAAAACTCGGGCTCGTTTGCTGTGGAAGTTTGGAACTAATCGAAAAGAACTGGTAAACAAGGCCCCTGGGGATCGTGGCTCGGATCCGACCTGACGCTAAGACAGCGAAGCGGATCGACCCAGGCTCGGACCGGGTCGCAGGACCCTGGGTTTTAGGACTCGGACTCGGGCTCAAGTAATATGGAAAGGGTAAACTTGGGACTCGGTATGGGGCCCAAGGCAGAACGACTGGATCTGAGTCCAGCTCGCGGTCATGTTTTTTGGGGATGATACTCATGGTTTGTTTCCTGAGCTTTCGCATGCGCGGAATTTTGCATGTTAGACAATGGCACCTGCATTGATAAACTAACGTTCAGTGTAATAAAAATCCTGATATTCAGGGACTCATTTGTTATCGCTCCGGAGGTGTCCAATCATCACACCACGCTCAGTCCCATAGATACAAGCAATGGCACAAGGATGCGTTAGCAGTGGAAGCTATCGGAGACATGTGTTGCGGAAAGTCGACTCCATTGTTCAGAGCTTGCACAATCACAGATGAGCTAGTTGGGGGTTATAGCCCAGCAAGCGGAACGGCTGGGACTTCAAAGCTGCCGCGTGCCGTTAACCATCGCCGGGTGAGACCAGGTGAGGTGCGGCGGCGTCACACGAGCGACACCAGCCGTCTCGGCCGAACTCACCGAGCGTGACACCCCACATGTGGTACCAGAAAGAGAAGCAGGCGTCCACGCTCTGGACGGCCGCGAGCACCGGCGAGAAGAGACGGGCAGTGTCGTTCTCCACGCGCGGGTCCGACGCCTCGATGAACATGAAGTGACCTGAAGCAGCACACCAGGTCAAGCGGCAGGTCAAGCGGCAGGTCAAGCGGCAGGTCAAGCGGCAGGTCAAGCAGCAGGTCCACGGAACCTTAAAAGTCTTGGTATGCAAGATATAACAGCGAAGACGTTGTATTATGACTTTCAGGGGCATATCATATAATTCAAGAGCAGCCAGACGCTCACGTCATGATAATGTGTATTACTCCGTCCTAGACATGGCAGGGAAGACTGTACTAATGGTCGCACTCTTTGCCAGCAATAGGCCTTTAAATACACACAGTCACTGGAAAAGCTCTTTCTGGTTCTTTAGCTGTGTATTGAAGACTACCTGAACAAAATGAAGCTAAGAAAGCGATAACCCTTGTAAGTCTGATACCATCGTGCGCCTGTTGAATATATCGACGATATGGAAAACCTCGGAGCGTCCGAACTCCATTGTTATAGGTATATTGCCGCATCAGAACATCTTCGGAGCCCTCGGAGCCTCTTGTGGAACTTCAAAGTCCTGTATGCTAGAAGTCCCATAGGCCATCTAAGGGGTTCCTGGTTAACCAGTGGTCATTGTCGACAGCCTCCATGCCCCTCAGGATTTCCTTGGCAGGCTTTGGCACTGATAATTCTGTGCATGTAGGGCTGGCCTAAAAATCAGTTGGGTCCTTCGCTTGCGCTGCCTTGGCGACCTTGGACGCCATCAGCCATCATGGTTTATGCAGTCACACACTTGTCGTTCGAGGGGATGAGGAAAATTTCGAGGAAATTGCCTCTACGTAGGCCTGCTCAGCGCTGCAGTTACAAGAGCTCATGTAGGAATAAGCGATTCATAGAAAGTTCTTACCTCCTTACATCATATTACCTCATTTTTATCAAAATAGCACACAGTGATCCAGCGATGAGTGTGAGATGAGTATGGGCGACATCGGCACAAGACGAGTAGGCTGCATAATGGTGCGGACATAGGCCCGACAAGCTGTGATATGGCTCCCGAGCATATGGCTGGGGCAGAATTTTGTCGTGTTCTGCCACCTCCGACTCTCACGCTTGTCCACGATAAGCCACGTTTGACGTTGGGCTTCCAAATTTTTGGGCCAGCAGTGAAACGTACTGAGGTGTGATTTCTAATTCATGGCACGTGGAAAGGGCCGACAGACCTGCGCTGCACAAGCACAGCGGTGTCCAACGTAGGATCTGAGGACATACCGTCGCGTCCCTCGCCCAGCGTGTGGTCGTTGGACGGCCCGGTGGACATGTCGACGGACGGCGTACGGCCCGAGTGGCGCGTCCACTGGAACTCGGCCCTGGTGTCGTGCGTCCAGTCGCATAGGTCCTCCGTCTCGAAGTCGCACGCCAGGCGGCTGGCCGGCACCGCGTCCGCTGCCGGCGGCGCTGCTGTCAGGCCGGGGCTGGGCGGGGCAGGGTGGCAGCGCTGCTATCAGGCCGGGGCTGTGCACCACTGCCGGCGGCGCTGCTGTCAGGCCGGGGCTGGGCGGGGCAGGGTGGCAGCGCTGCTATGAGGCCGGGCTGTGCACCACTGCCGGCGGCGCTGCCGTCAGCCCGGGGCCGCGCGCCGCTGCCGCCGCCGGCCGGGACGGGGCGGGGCGGGGCGGGGCGGCAGCGCTGTCGGCACGCTCTCGGCTTACCGTCACCTCATTCCCATCACAGCGCTGCGGTGACCCACGTCACGCGGGTGCAAGCAATTCATGTAACACCTGTTGCAGTTAAGATTAGCTAAACATGGCGTAATCGACGTCGTGCGTGATATAAACAAATTAACGAGTTAAAGATTGGCATGGTCTTAAGCCACGCAATCTCAACGCGAGCAGGCACAGTTCAGGTAAAATATTCAAAAAATTCGGTCGAACGTAACGCTAAATTAAAAACCACTAGCGGCCACTAATCTAATAACTGAACGTCTTTACGCTCCGATGCCTCACATTTTGCCAGCGCGTGCCAGAAGGGTGCAATGCTCCTTAACCCCCCCCCCCCCCCACCCAACTGTCCAACTACGACCCTCACATGTTCGTCAGCTTGCGCGCGCACCACACGCATCGCGGGAGGCAGCGGAGCGCGAGGCGGTGGAGGCGGCGGTGGTCTCACCTGTGCAGGTTGGCTCCGTGCCGTTCCAGCCCTGGCCGTCGCAGTACATGACGCTGTGTCCCCGCAAGCTGAAGCCCGGCTCGCAGGAGAAGAGGACGACCCTGTTGTTCATCAGCGGCGTCCAACCGCCGTGGGGCACTGCTCTTGGAGAGCTGCAGCCCCGCTCTGCGCAGCACGACCCCCGCCCGTCAGCGGCCGCTCCAGCACCGCAGCGCAGCCCCCCCGCCCGTCAGCGCCCCCACCCCTCAGCACCGTAACGCAGCCCCCGCCCGTCAGTGCCCCCACCCTCAGCACGCAGCGCAGCCCCCGCCCGTCAGCGCCCCCCCCCCCCTCAGCGCTGCAGTACAGACCCCGCCCGTCAGCGCCCCCCCCCCTCCTCAGCGCTGCAGTACGACCCCCGCCCGTCAGCCCCCTCCCCCTCCTCAGCGCTGCAGTGCGAGCCCCGCCCGTCAGCGCCCCCCCCCCTCCTCCTCAGCGCTGCAGTACGACCCCCGCCCGTCAGCACCCCCCCCCCTCAGCGCTGCAGTACGACCCCCGCCCGTCAGCGCCCCCCCCCCTCCTCAGCGCTGCAGTACGACCCCCGCCCGTCAGCGCCCCCCCCCCCCCTCCTCAGCGCTGCAGTACGACCCCCGCCCGGCAGCGGCCGCACCGACACCGCACGACGGGCACGAGCGCGTGGCACCGTGCGGCAGCGGCGGACGACGCGGCAGACGGTGCACGGGGTCGTATGATACATTTATCAAAACGAATGCCGTTTTGATTCGCAGTTCCGAGCCGATGACTGTTTTTGGATGAGTGGTCCTCGGACGATAATAGATGGTCCTTGCATGGGGACGGGAGATTTACAGCGCAGAGGCCAACTGAATTGACCCAGTACGCGTCATAGTTCCTTTCATCGGTCCTGCCAAACGACGCGTCCGGTGAGGCATTGCCCCTAGGTGTGTGCAGTAAACGCAGGGAGATTTGGAGAACTGTGCTAAAGTACGGAAACTCCGATGCTTCTGTTCCGTGCAATGCAATCCATTAACGTATCTTGTATGTTGGATGTCTTAGATCTGCTTGACCCAGACCACAGCCACTGGCAGCAGACACCAAACATTCCCAGTAATGGGCACTGGGACAACTGCGTTAGCCGTGCCACAGTCAAATATTGCACGTGTTTAACAACGATATATATATATATATATATATATATATATATATATATATACTCACTGTTCTCCCAAAAAAGATTTGGAAACGAAATGGGAAAGAGGTTATTCAGTCATATTTAAGTCCTGGTCGTTTTTACGAACACGCAGCACAGTCAGAGGCCAAAAGGTACTAGAACACAATCGCACACACCCAAAGTCAACACATACATGTAAACGTGATTACCACCTTCGTTGCCCCCGCGCCGAATCACACCGGTACCTATCAACAACGTACCGATCTGGCCGTACACTTTCATGAGCAAGCCGAGGTGCGTGCTGGTGCTCGCGCACACTCCCGAGCAGGCTGATGTACTCACTGGTGCAGACCGAATGGGGTTCTCGCCAGCGACGCGCCTCGCAGATGTTGAACTTGGCGCCGTAGAGCCGGTAGCCGGGCCGGCAGCGGTAGCGCACGGCTCGGCCGCGGGAGCGCAGGCGCGCTATGCCGTTCGCCACTCGCGGAGCCCGACAGCGGAACCTCCTCCAGGATCGAGCTGGCGGCAACACACGAAACAGCTGGGAACTTCCGTGAGGTGCGAGCGGTCTGGGATAGACAGCCGAGCTGGCGGCAACACACGGTACAGCTGGGAGTGGGGCTTCCGTGAGGTGCGAGCGGTCTGCGATAGACAGCCGAGCTGGCGGCAACACACGGTAAAGATGGGAGTGGGGCTTCCGTGAGGTGCGAGCGGTCTGCGATAGACAGCCGAGCTGGCGGCACACACGGCACAGCTGGGAGTGGGGCTTCCGTGAGGTGCGAGCGGTCTGCAATAGACGACCAAGCGGCCGGAAAAACTGGCTGCAGTTCCGGCCTGTAGGCAGCGAAGACATCGCGACTTCCTCTAGAACCGAGCTGTTGGCGGCAAGCTGGTAGAGGAATTTTCCCCACACCCGACTGATCGACATGCAAACAGCAGCTGGGGCGGTGGTTGTACCACCTCCAGGGCCCGACCCGCCGACAACACACCATAGCTGGCTATGAAGTTTTCTCCAGATCTGAACTGTCAGGCAGGGGACAACGGGGTTGGCAGAACTCTTCCAGGTGCCAGCTCCGAACAACAGACAACAGCATAACGTAGTTTGTGCTCGAAGTGTTGACAAGGGATGACAGAGCCACGGTTGCAGCCTCTAAACGATCTGACGTATTGGCGACAGGTTTTCACTGAATTCACGCTGTCGACTTCAGAAGACCTTGCGTACGGAGTTGTTACTAATTGATAGCTGTTGTGGCGTGCAACCAATAAAAAAGTCGGCTTGATTTTAGCCCGCGTTTTGTAAAGATCTATTTTAATTCCTGATTTGCAGGATTTCCTGCAGGTGTACCGTAACGAACTGCAATGATTGCCCTCACGTCTACCGCCACGTACCGCACCAGTACACCAAAACTGTGCGCCCACATCAACAAAGCCCGCAGTCCCGCTGGGAGTTCAGCTTTGGCCCAGCATCCAAGGTGGCCGTGTGTCTGCAGCGTCGGCAATAGCGAAGCTCTTCAAGCTGTTAAGGCCACGCCGGTTAAATACATGCACTCCGAACCAGAGGCGTCAGGAGCGCCAGATCTCGGGACGCCAGGCAGGGGCGTAGGGGGGAGGGGGGGGGGGCTCCCCTTACCTCGCGAGGGGTTCTTTGGGCCTCTGGGACCGACGATCTGACGATTTGCTTTACCTTGATTTGATTGAGTCCGGTTTGAGGGTGCGAAGGGCCCAAAGGGCTGAAAGGAAGCCGTGTTAAGGGGCCGCAGTCCCGCGAAGCCGGGCCCCCAATTGCCAGTCAGAGGCCCCTTGCGCCGATTTGGGGCCCCCGAATCGATGACGACCGTTGGTCATGCACCACCAGTACCAATCATCTGGTACCAAACACCAGTACCAAACAGTCGGCACCAAACACCAGGAGTAAACAGTCCTCAATGTCTCCGCATAACCCATAACAATGCAGGCAAAGACTCCTTAGGATTTATAAAGATTCCACTCAGCCATTGTACAAGTGGTTGATTCATTTACATATCTTGGCGCCGCTGGTTTACTTCATGCAATCATTTAATGCCCGTTTCTTCCCGTTTGTTAACTTCAAAATACAAACAAAACTGTGTGTTCGATAGCTTTTGGCTTCTGTTTCGGCTAAAGGACGCAAAACTCCGATGATCTTTTGTGGGTGATTTTACCACCAGGAACCCTTTGTCAACTCTGTGCCGTATTACCAAGACTGGCCGCGCCCTTGGTGTCAGGCGTCCGGGGCATCAGGAGTGGCAGGTGCGCTGTGCCAACACGGGCTGCGCTGCCCGCGTCGGAGCCTTGCGACTACGGCCACCAGCCGGACCCGCACGGACTCTGAGCTGTCGACTGCGTGGGCCGGGCAGAGCCGGCGGCCCTCGCTGGTCTGGTGAGGAGGGCAGGTGGCCGTCGAGACCGCCACAGACCGGAGGTCGTCGACCAGCGGCGGAAGCCCCGGGAGCGTGGCTCGACCGCAGCTGATGGAGACACTCCGTACGAGTGGATGCATCGGCCAGCCGAGATAGTAGCTTCCGGCTGACGTCGCCGGTGCCCCCCCCCCCCCCCTCGCCTCTCCGCTTCATGCCTCCCACTGCCTGACCGCGGCGTCGCCTCGCGTGCCGGGCCTGGGGTCACGTCAGGGCCACCTGTCGCCTGGCTCGGGGCATCGGTTGGGACGGGGGACAGTGCCTCATCGGCCAGGAGAAGCAGGACAGGGGGACCTCCGGGCTGACGGCCGGTCTGTGTGTCGGCAGGAGCAAGCTCTTTTGGGAGTGGTCGGGATAATGAATAGGAACTGTGCTAATATTTTCGGACTCCACATTTTGGCGCGTAAGAGACAAACGTGTTTGGCAGCATCGAGCTTTATGGTATAAGACAGTGCAGACAGGCCAGGTTGCCGATGCATTTGGAGCGCGATGCCAAACACTAGTGGCCGGTGGCGAGATTCGTTACGACCAAATTTCAAAATGCGAGTTTTTGCAACGCACCTCACGAGCACTTCATGTCCAGTGAGATTCTGAACAACTTACCATGTTAAAAGCTTCAAAAATTTGACTTATCGCTGCTCCAACTTCCGCGTCTATTTCCCAACGCTGAAGTCAAGCTGTGTGACTGGCTGCATGTATAATTTGATAGCAGCACCAATTTCCCACAGAAAATCGCACCAAATGCCTCGCCACACCGGTGTCCGGTGTGAGCCCATGCAGCACCTACAAGCATAAGTACCGTCTTTTCCAGTGAGTCTGATTATACGGCCGATTCAGCTACGTTTTTCACGATTTCATCCCGTCATCTGTCCGGAGGGAGTAAAACAATAACGATTATTTTTGGCAATTGCATCGAAAAAGCCAATGGGCTATATTGTTGACGCCCTTCAAAAACTAGTTGGCATGCCCTCAAAACTGGAAGCTCGCCTCATCCCAAGTCAGGCCAAAATTACGTCACACGTGGCCGACGGTAAAAACGTTTGCTCTCGATCCTGTTCATGTTCATGCCCACCTGTTCGGGACAGCAGTTGATGATTGTTTATGGTGATGTGTGGCATGACCTCATGATGGTCTAGCAAAGTGTTCAGGTTATTCTAGGTGGATTCACTGCCGACATCGCAGCTGGGTCCGGAATGTCAGATGGGTTTCCCGGACTTGAATAGGGCTCGCACATGCTCCGCTCAGACTTCTGCTCACCAGTGAACCGCACTTTGTGCACAGTCCCAGTAGATCGATAGGTCATTTCGCGGCTAGGCCATCCCAGCTCACACCTGTGACGTCACATCATAACCATGTGCCGCATGTGATTTGTACTTTTTGAATATTTGTCATGTGTTCAGATGCGTTGGGAGTTACTGGTCGCCTGGAAGCCCAATGTCTTCCCATTTTGTTGCGCTCTGTGTAAAAAACTGCTTCTGTTCGGACGCCTATAAGCACGTTTGGAACCCATGAGTCCCTCTGGGGCCTGGGAGGAGCGATGACACTGTACCCCCCTCCCTCTGGATCTGCTCTTGGGTGTGATAGGCGTGTGTTGTTGAACGTTGTGTGCACTTTCAGTGCACACAACGTTCAGATGGCATTTTGCTGATGATTCATAGCGTTTGGAATGGGCTGATCCAGTTTAACACTTCATCTATCATAGTTCCAGCCAGTTCGCCTGTAAAATGCGGTCGTTTTGCAGTGTTAGCGTGGCATTGGCGCGTAGAGTCTTTTTTGCGCTCGACTGAACTGCTTGGCGTTGTTGGAGGACACGCGCCGTCGGAGAAAAATCCCCCTCGAGCTGATGCCAGTTTTTGCAGCGCAGAAGGACTTAACCCTGGACGTCAATTTAGCGTTCGAACGAACCACTCTTCGGCAGACGGCGACCCTCGTTAAAGCGGCATGCTTAGCAGCGCCACCCTAACACCCACCTCTTGTATTTGTCGCATTCATCTGGCTCATGAGATGAACATGCATTCTGTGGCGCTTGCCTTGGACTTTGGTGCCTGGAAAGCCCAGCATAGCGTAAGTGTGCTAGCATGAAACAAGCTGCATTGTTTGCCTTGAAAAATAGGTATTGGGCATTGGCGGACATGAAGGATTTGAAATCATGCTGCCATTATCTGTCGAGCTCTGAAATATTTTTTGCGTGAATATGCTTATGACCAGTAACTCCCAAGCGAAAGCAAAAGACCCAGAAGAGGACACAAGTTATTTTCTACTGATTGTGAGGGTAGCGTTTGGAAGGTCTTAATGTTGCTTGCGCTGTCCAGAGGCCCTACGCTGTTTCCGGAGGCCCTATATATCGACTTGCGGGGTCAACCTGATCGTTAAGGATCCTTCAGCGTTGCCCTTGATTTCTTTGCATTTGCTTGGAGGGCCATGCACTGTTGCTGGGCCCTTCCTGCTAGCGTGCCAGGGCCCTCTGTCAATCAGGGACCTTCCACGGATTCCTTCCACTCGCCCGATACGCCCCATACGCTATAGCCGGGGGGGGGGGGGGGGGCACCCTATGTTGACATGCCGAGGTATTCTCGATTTCTCGGGGTCCTTCACGTTGGTCACGGTTAACCCACTAGCACACTCACAAAATGCTGATGGGCCTTCTACATTGGTCTAGGGCCCTTCCAGCTTTCTGGCACCTGCTCGGAGCCCTACGCTCCATCTGTTAACCTACTTGGACTTACTGAGTCGTTCGGGGCCCTCCAAAAGGTGTCTTGGGTACTTCCCATTCTGAAGGAGGGCTCTTTGCAGTTGCCGGGGCCCCTATCTGTTGAGCTGCTCTGGTGCAATGAATTGTTCGGGGGCCTTGCACATTGGGTTTGGTATTCAGATGCAGGACCCTACGTTCCTGTCGGGGCCATCTGATAGCCTGCTTAAATACACTCGATCTTTCGGGGCCCTCCACACTGTGTTTTGGGTACTTCTTACTTGAATGGAAGGCCATACGCTGTTATCGTGGCCCATCTGATAGCCTGCTCGGGGACATTCGATCGTTTGGGAGCCCTCTTCATTGCGTCTTCGGTACTTTTTATTTAAATAAACGTCCCTACGCTCCTGTCGGGGACCCCGTTTATTAACTTACTCGGACACACTCGGTCATGGAGCTTGGGTGCTTCGTTTTTAAATGGAGGGCCCCACGCCCTCGTCGGAGTCTTATCTGCTCTGGCCCACACGGTCGTTCGGGACCCTCCACATTGTGTCGTGGGTGTTCATCACTTAAAACGTCATTATATGGAGCGTCCTACGTTCTTGTCGTGGCCCCCATCCGTTAACCTGTTCGGGCAGACTCTATCATTCCTAGGCCCTTCATATTGTGTCTTGGTTATTTCTTATCTGAATGAATGACCCTATCTTCTTGTCGCAGTCCGATCATTGGCCCGAGCAAACTGCTCGGGCCAATGACGGATCCAGAGGGAGGGGGTGGGGGGGGTGGGGTGGGGGGGGGGACAAGGAACTCTGCTTCCTCTTGTGTTCCGAAGAGACCCACAGGTCATGTGCCCCATCATTTGGTCATGGGCCCGTTCATAGGCTATGAAGGGGCCCACGACTAGGCGAGCGGACGCAATTTTCAAACAAAACACAAAAAATGGAAGTATTTGGGCCTCCAAACCACCAAGAAGAGTCACAAGCGAAAGCCAAGCCCGTGAGCAGACCAACTTGGACGTTTTTGACCAGACCAACGACCAATTTCGCTGTCCAGAGGCGTTACGCTGTTGCCGGGACCTATATGTCTGTTTACCGAGTCAACCCAATCGCTGAAGAGCCTTCCACATTGTCCTAAATCTCTTTGCATTTTCTCGCAGGGCCCTGCGCTTCTAATGTGGCACTATCTGCTAACATGCATGGGCACTCCTGATCGATCAGGGGCCCTCCACACATTCTTTCCATTTGCCCGAAAGGCTCCATACGCTTTTGCTGGGACACTACATGCCGGGGCACACTCAATTCCTCAGAGGCCCTTCATATTAGTCTCGGGTTCTTTCCACTTGATCGAAGAGTCTTGTGCTGTTGCTGGGGCCAATCTAAGGTTAGGCGCCCGATGCCCAGTAACACTCTACTCCAGCCTAGGGCTATTTTCCCTTGGTTTCCTCCGCGGAGGACCCTTTATTCTCATCGCGACCATTTCCGTTGACATGCCCGGGCACTCTTGATCGCACAGGGGCTTTCATTCATGCACACTGGTCTTGGGTGCATACCTGCCCTTTGCTCAAACGGCTCTATGCTCTGGCTGAGGTCCTATGCCAGCCTGCCAGGGTCCTCCCGATCGTTCAGGGGCCTATCACGCTGGTCTTGGGCTTCTTCTCGCTTGCTTTGAGAACCCCATACTTGTTGACGGAAGCCTCTTTGCTGGTCTGCCGCGGCAGCTATGAACGCTCAGGTTTCGTCACTGTTGGCCTTGGCACCTTAGCCTTAGAGCAGCAGACAGATAAGCGTGGATGAATTTTTGCGCGCATCTGTCGAACATAATCTTACGTGACGCTGACGTCGTATGCCATATTTCGGTTGGTTATTGAATTCGTGACATCCGTTATACTATAGCAGTATATTCTTATCCGCTTTATATTATACATTTCAATGCTAAAACATCTTATATTCCTTCATTACAAACAAAGCAAAAACTCTGCATTAGTCACTAGCCATCAGGTGATCACATTGACCAGCCGGCTAGCTGTAAATATGCTAGGAATCAAGCTCGTGCTCAATTCGAAGATCTTTCGTAGCCAGCTTTAGCTTACTTTGTCAATTTTTTTCTCAGAAAGAACTTAGGCTTATCATGACATAATTCACCATGATCTGGAGAAAATGAACAAGCTTCATGCATGTGCATACGTGGCACGTCTCGTTTTCTAGTGATGCGCACAGTAAGATAGCTTCCGTATACAAATAGCTTAGTAAGTATCTTAAAATTTGATTACCGCATTTGGAATTTGCTTGGGCCCTAAACTCTATGGCGCCCGATAGCGTTGCGCCCCCCCCCCCCTCACGTTGGAGCCAGGGGTTGAATGAGCAATAGCCAACGTCGCTTATGAATGGGATTCCAGTGACCGGCTCTTCGTTGTTAAGTAACGACATTGATTGATTAGCTAACGGGGAATGCAGCCGATGGGAACAATGGTTTAGACAAGATTTCGTGCAGGAGGGGACCGGATCCGGTCATAGGGTCCTTTTTAGTCAAGAGGGTCCACGCCCTCGCTGTATACACGCTGGTTCGGGATTTGAGACCTTTTTAGGCTCAGAATCTCATTTGATGTCTCGTGACCCCGTGTGGTGCTTTAGGAACCTCGCGGGTGTGTCAATTATATCGGCCGTGGTCCCCAAAGCGTCATCCGTCCTCCTTGGCTACGGCGCTGGGCTGGAAGAATAGGTAGGCCGCCCGGTACGCTGCTCCATTTTGTTTTAATTTCATGCAGCTTGACTCTTCTTACTGCCCTTATCTGTATTCTATTTCGTCAGCTCGATTTACGTACTCTTGGAAGCTTGGCAAAAATTACACAGGAGTGGGAAATGAATAGAGGATTCAAAAACTATTCGTGCCGGTAACTCGCGGGTTGACTTCCCTTGCTTTGCGAGCTAACGTTGGCCGCGTCCCACAACTATTCACTGGACTTGATCCCGTCCAGTCCCAATCCCGCCTTCGCGACTTGAGCGGATCTCCGATACCCTCACCCGACATCCTCCGCTCACCAGCTCCGTCCCCTCACCCGACATCCCCCGCTCACCAGCTCCGTCCCCTCGCCCGGCATCCCCGCTCGCCAGCTCCGTCCCCTCGCCCGGCATCCCTCGCTCACCAGCTCCGTCCCCTCACCCAGCATCCCTCGCTCACCAGCTCCGTCCCCTCACCCGACATCCCCCGCTCACCACCTCCGTCCCCTCGCCCGGCATCCCTCGCTCACCAGCTCCGTCCCCTCACCCGGCATCCCTCGCTCACCAGCTCCGTCCCCTCGCCCAGCATCCCCGCTCACCAGCTCCGTCCCCTCGCCCGGCATCCCCGCTCACCAGCTCTAACCCCTCACCCGACATCCCCCGCTCACCAGCTCCCTCCCCTCGCCCGGCGCCCGGCGAGCGTCTCCGGCTTATCAGCTCCGTCCCCTCACCCGGCATCCCTCGCTCACCAGCTCCGTCCCCTCACCCGACATCCCTCGCTCACCAGCTCCGTCCCCTCACCCGGCATCCCTCGCTCACCAGCTCCGTCCCCTCGCCCGGCATCCCCGCTCACCAGCTCCGTCCCCTCGCCCGGCATCCCCGCTCACCAGCTCTAACCCCTCACCCGACATCTCCCGCTCACCAGCTCCCTCCCCTCGCCCGGCGCCCGGCGAGCGTCTCCGGCTTATCAGCTCCGTCCCCTCACCCGGCATCCCTCGCTCACCAGCTCCGTCCCCTCACCCGACATCCCCCGCTCACCATCTCCGTCCCCTCACCCGGCATCCCTCGCTCACCAGCTCCGTCCCCTCGCCCGGCATCCCTCGCTCACCAGCTCCGTCGCCTCGCCCGTCATCCCTCGCTCACCAGCTCCGTCCCCTCGCCGCAGACAGCGTGGACCTGTCGAGCTCCACCTACCCGCTACAGCAGAGCTGACACACGCGGCGACCAGACACAACAGCAGCAGCGCCGTGGAGACCTTCATCGCGGACACTCGGTCAGCGGCGGCGACGGCGGCGGCGGAGGCGACTGGAGTCTGCACTGGCGGGACGCTGCCGCGCCACCGCCGGCCAGGGCCGCCGGACGTCCGGTGCGCCGCCGCCGCCGCCAGCGCCGCGCACGGCCAGGATGCCCACCAGATAGCTCCCCTTCACAGCGGCCGGAGTTCGGGAGAAAAACGATACGCAGCCGGACACACGTTGGTGGCCGGCACGGCTGGAACCTGACCTTCGCACGTATCAGTGGTCGGAGGAGAGGTGGTATGACGCCCAACCGCGATCTGATGCGGTGAGATGCACAACCCCACAAGGCGACCACAGGTCTGCCGCGCCATCGCCATCGCCGCCCGTGAAGCGTGCCGGCGGTGACGACATGTCAGTGGGACCTGAGACCCTAATGCATCGTGCGCCGGCTACCCGACCGTTCCAAGGGCTGGACGTGGATCTCGCTGACCTCGCTGGACGGAACCACCCGACAAAGTAGCAGATGGGTACTCAGGACGGTAGATTGCCGGGGAGATCCGTGCGGGTACCCGAAGGAGCAAGCTTATATCTCTAGCTAGCGGAACGGTCTGCCAGGCTGGGGTGCCAGACGTCATACGGTCTGATGGAGGATGGTCTAATCGCCACAATTCAGCCCCAGTGCCTTACAGTCTGTCTTGCGTCGGTGACAGATACGTCACGAGAGGTCGCCTCCCCTCTGTCCGCAAGAGCATGAAATGTTAGAGGCAGATGGGAGAACGGCGAGGGAGCTCTCCAGAAGATGCTGGCATGGACGTACCGGTCAGCTGGATGTCAGAGGCAGCTGGGAGGACTGCGAGGGAGCTCCTCAGAAGATGCTGGCATGGACGTACCAGTCAGCTGGATGTCAGAGGCAGCTGGGAGGACGGCGAGGGAGCTCCTCAGAAGATGCTGGCATGGACGTACCGGTCAGCTGGATGTCAGAGGCAGCTGGGAGGACGGCGAGGGAGCTCCTCAGAAGATGCTGGCATGGACGTACCGGTCAGCTGGATGTTGGCATGAACGTAGTGGTCAGCTGGATGCTGGCAGGGAAGCACCGGTCAGCTGGATGCAGAGCGACGGAATCGGGGCGTCCTCCGGCAGCGCAACACTCCTGAGCGCGCGGACCGTCGTCAGCATAGGTACGGCCGACCTGCCGAGGACACGCCGCCGGCACGACGACCATCGCTCGCTGCGCAGGGACAGCGCGCAGCCGACGAGGCTGACGCAGCTGCGTCCGCTCGACAGGGACGGGTCGCAGCTGCCACCGCTCGACGGGGGCGGGTCGCAGCTGCTACCGCTCGACAGGGACGGGTCGCAGCTGCCACCGCTCGACAGGGACGGGTCGCAGCTGCCACCGCTCGACGGGGGCGGGTCGCAGCTGCTACCGCTCGACAGGGACGAGTCGCAGCTGCTACCGCTCGACAGGGACGGGTCGCAGCTGCCACCGCTCGGCGGGGGCGAGTCGCAGCTGCTACCGCTCGACAGGGACGGGTCGCAGCCGCCACCGCTCGACAGGGACGAGTCGCAGCTGCTACCGCTCGACAGGGACGGGTCGCAGCTGCCACCGCTCGGCGGGGGCGAGTCGCAGCTGCCACCGCTCGACAGGGGCGGGCAACCTCCCCACCGAAGTCTCCTGCAGCGAAGCTGGCAGGACACCGGGCCGCCGGCGCCCACGAGCCGCGGGGCGGCCGGTGAACCAACGCCGCCTCCACCGCGGCCCCGCCGGCCCCAGCGGTACCGCCGTCGGCAGGTACCGTCGTCGCCGCCGACCACAGCAAAAACGCGCCATGAATACCGATTGTGGGAAACAACAACCTGCCTAAAGCGCTCGTACTTAATGCGAATGCATGTGAATTTAATGTGGGTATATGTTGTGATACCGTGATTTGAGGCAGCTCAGCGTTATAATGGGAGGTGTGAGGCAGTGATAAGGCGTGCGTGGTGTACTTGATATGAGTTCCGATCCTCTGCTGTTACAACCATCAATTTGTACATACGGTGTTGGTATGTTAACGTGGGGATGATAATTCAAATCGGAAGATGACGCATGGCAACCGGCACCATCATGTCCCAAGGCCTCCAGTTGACAACAACGCCTCTGAATGCTTGTTCCACCACTGTGTATCGTCTGCACGCCTTCGACGCAGTGGCTTCTTTCGGGTACGCCATGCTAAGGAGCGTTCTTTCCTGCGGTCATGACGACCTCTTTCACTGCTTTGACTTGGCACAGTGATCGGTGTACGTCGCCGCGCGCGCACACCGGCTGCGGCGGCGCCTTCCACCCTGTTCCAGCGGCTGGACGGTGCAGTTTCTCAGCGGCTGGACTGTGCAGTTTCTCCGCCAGGACCCCGACACGGGGCGCGAGACATGAGACCTCCGCCGTGTTCCAGCGGCTGGACTGTGCAGTTTCTCCGCCAGACCCCGACACGAGGCCTCCGCCCTGTTCCAGCGGCTGGACTGTGCAGTTTCTCCGCCAGACCCCGACACGAGGGCCTCCGCCCGTGTTCCAGCGGCTGGACTGTGCAGCTTCTCCAGCCAGACCCCGACACGAGGCCTCCGCCGACACGAGGCGCGCCAGACGCCATAACCTCACAGCGCCGGGAAACTTCCACTGGCCCGTCTGCTATCTAAGAAACAACGCAGCGTGGGTTTCTTAGATATTGGATTTGGAATTCTTAGATAGCAGACGGCACACACGTCTGGCTCTGTATCCCTCCCCATCTTTTCCTCCTGCACTCCCGGCTTTTTCCCCGTGCGGGCCCGGCGTCCGAAACAGCCCGTGTACCGACAGCAATGTATTCTGAAACTGCACACTGGTGCGCGGCGGGGAGCCCGGCCCATCACAGCCGCGCGCCGGCCCGGCTCCGGCCCCGGGAACTAATTAGAGACCGCCCCCGGGTCTGTCGCGGCACGCCGCCTTCCCTACAACCCACCACATAACGCACACAAACAAATGCCCCGGGCGTGGTCAGCACCGGCAGGGCGGCGCCGCCGGCGGCCGGCCGCGCGGCCCGCCGGCCGGCGGCGCTGTGGTACTCGCGGGCGACGGACGGTCCCGAGCCGCCCCAGCCCGGAGGCGGCAACAGACGGCAGAAGAAGCAAGGCCACGTGGTAAGCCACTGGTTTGATCGGTATGACCATACCGTTTGATAGTATATGGCACGACAATTTTGACACACACGTTCCTCGTATATAGGCACTTGGATTCACGAGCTCGGTGCGCGGATCTGATTAGGAAGGCACGTAGTTCACATTTCAATATGTACACGCACGCACGCACGCACGCACGCACGCACGCACGCACACGCACACACACACGCACACACGCGCGCGCGCGATAAAACGGCACTCTGAACCACAAGCGTGGCCGTCTGCGGCTCAGCCGGCTCGCGGCGAAACCCTCTGCCGATACAGACGCATACGGAAACAACGACAATAGCACTCAGCCGTGGCGCCACTGGGGCCCGCTTCGTCGTGATTGGTGCAAAACTGCTCACGAAGGCGGCCGGGCTGTTCACACCGAACACGGCGCACATGAGGACGATATGACTGCGAGCGGCCCTGGCTTCTGAAGGCACTGAGTATTGTTACTCTAAAGGTTCTCGTCGGTGCACCAGCTCCTGTTAGTAAACCCATTTTAAAGAGTGCTGGCTGGCTAAATAAACAAAATGTACACGACGCTTGGCAAGCAGATAATAAATATTAACACGCTAGCTAATGGAACGCAATTAAAATAAGAATGATAACAACTTAGGGCTACGTTTGGCACGGTGAGTAATCGTCTGAAGGTGCGTTCTGCGCCACCTAGCACTACATTTGTTTACCCTACACACCGGGCGTGCTGGAGACGGACCCCGCCGTGCAGCCGCCCCTGCGTGTCAGAGAGCGTGCGGGGTCCACGCACGCGCGAGCGCGCGCCCACCAACGCCTTCGTAACGCACCAAAACCAGCGCCGCGCTACGTCGGCCACCGGACAACGAAACAGAACGCGCACCAGCGGGCACAACGCGGCGGCACACTCGCTCCGGGACGAAGAGCTGGTCGTGAGCCGAGGAGCCAGCCAGGCGCGACGAGTCCGACCGAGCACCGTCTAGCCTCGAGCGCCGCGCGCCCCAGCGACCGCGCCGCGGCGACCGTCACTCCATGTGGCGGTACTTGTGGGCCGACATCTGACTCAGCCCCAGCACGGCGTACTGGCACTTGACGCAGTGGTAGTGCGTCTGCTTGCCGTTGTGGTTGCACGTCTCGATCTTGCAGCTCTGGCTGGGCGTGAACTTCTCGAAGCCGGCCTGCGTGATCGAGTCGAGCTTGGTGTGCTGGCGGCGGTGCGCCACCACCTTGTTCGTGTCCGTGCAAACGAACTCGCACTTCAGACAGTGGAAGTGCGACGCCTTGTTTTGCCTTTGATCTGGAATGTGTGAGGATCAATATCAGCGCGGCGATCATCAGCATGTACACGACACGACACGAAATTTCAGCATAAACACGACAATTTCGTAACGAGATAAAGCCCCTTCGTCACACGCGATTCGGTACTTCAGAAATATTATTTTATTCATAATGCCAGAATGTTCATGAACTTTTACCAGACAACCTTCACTTTCAATCACCACAACACCACAAAACGTCACCAAAACTTCAAACCACGCCCGGAAGAGCATAGAGCCAATAAATCGCCGTCTTCATCTCGGTCTCCGTGACATGAGCTCAGCACTCCGTGAGGTCGCCTCGGGCAGCAGCCGAGCCCCGAGCAGCGGCCGAGCCCCGGCACGCCGGGACTCGCTGCGGCCCGGCGGACGGCAGGCGGCGGCCGGAGCGCGCCGGTCGCGGCACCCACCTAGAGTGTTGGTGTAGATGCAGGCGTCGCGTCCGCACGGGATGTTAGCCCGGTACTGCACGAAGTCGCCGCCCATCAGCGTGTCCAGGCGCTCGTGACGCGCCGTGTGCTGCACGAAGCGGGTCTTGTCGCAGAAGCTGTAGCCGCAGTCCTTGCGCACGCAGTGGAAGTGGGTCTGGTGCTCGCGGTAGCCGCAGTGCGGGTACTTGCAGTCCTCGTTGAATCTGCAGCGAGCGGGCGTCTCGGTTAGCACCGCCGGGCAGGGCTTATACCGTGCCTGGCTGACGAAAACAACGTCAGCCACATTGACAAATATAAGATATAAGTTGAGCATTACGTTAAGGCTCCTGACTGCGTTAGTGGCGTCTGTGAGACGATCGCATACGTCAACCTTTTATCATGTGCGAGACATGGAGATCGTGATCATTGGTGAGGAACGGTTCGACGTCACGTTTATATTATGACCAAATGATCGTCTACGTTGCAGAGGAAACGATAGCAAACCATGCGACGCCATATCGCAAGGAGGATTTTCACAAAGCAAAACTGATAGACAAGGAAAAGAGAAGGAGAAAGATAAGATAACAAACCGTATAGCGTACTCTTTGTTGTACCTGAATCGAATATAGCCATCAGGCACGGGCTCGTCCTTGAGAATGCGCATGTTGCGTGGCTTCTTGACCTCGGGTCGAGGCGCGTCACCTGGCCCGTCGGCCGCCAGACGCTTCCGAGTCAGCAGGGCCGGGTCAAACAGGGCAGCGCTCATCGACAGTGGGAAGCCGCCATTTTGTGGCGACATCATCGGAAACCCTGCCGGACGGAGGGAAGGGGCAGCGTCATGCTCTGTCGACAAGGGGAGACATTAAGGGTTAAGGGACATTAAGGGTGACGGATGTGTGAATCGGCGCCCGTCGGTGGAAACGTTGGTGACTATCGAGTGGAGGGAGACGGAAATCTCATTGGAACAGCACGCACATTTCCTACGAGTAACATATTGGTGACTATCGAGTGGAGGGAGACGGAAATGTCATTGGAACAACACGCACATTTCCTACGAGTAACATAGAGTTGATATCACTGTTACGTGCTGCAGAAAAATAAATTGCGACGCAAAACGACGAGCCATGGTGCGCAGTTGTAATGCGTCTGTTCTGTATGGTGCTTACTTGCTTTGACTACCTTTTTTGAACTAAACCCCTGCCGGCTATTGTATGCCCCGCATAACAGAGGCCGTACCCCATGCGCAGTGATGACTCAGTTAGCTACTCTACCAGGTCAGCCCCTGCCGGCTACTGTACGCCCTCGCTCATCCGACGCTAACTGCCACCACGGCAACGTGCGTGCATGTGCGTGTGTGTGTGTGGGGGGGGGGGGGGGGGCACGAACCTGCCAGCGCCGGATGCAGCGTCGGCCGTAGCAGGAACCCTTCCGAGCCAAGGAACGGGGCATGCGCAAACGGGTGGAACGGCAGCATCGGATGCCGCGGCATCTCCGGCATCACCTCGGCGCCGGGAACGTCTGCCAAGACATGGAGCCGTGTTACCGACGGCGGCTGACTCCCGGCACAGCCGTGGGCTTCAGGCCGCGGCAGGCGTACCAGGGGAACATCGCCACGTTCCGTGCAGTATCGACGCCAACGCCATCAACAAGTACGTCGTGACATCCGGCATAGAACATGCGATGATGCGATCAGGGTGAGGCATCTGCTACGCTACAGCACAAGAGCCGAGTCGATTACGATGTCTACACCTCCAGCGCCTGTTACCAGACCTTCCGCACGGTTACGGTGCCTATAACTCCAGTGCCTGTCACCAGACCTTCCGCACGGTTACGATGCCTACAACTCCAGTGCCTGTCACCAGACCTTCCGCACGGTTACGATGCCTACAACTCCAGTGCCTGTCACCAGACCTTCCGCACGGTTACGATGCCTACACCTCCAGCGCCTGTCACCAGACCTTCCGCACGGTTACGATGCCTACAACTCCAGTGCCTGTCACCAGACCTTCCGCACGGTTACGATGCCTACAATTACAGTGCCTGTCACCAGACATTCCGTGCGGTTACGATGCCTACACATCCAGCGCCTGTCACCAGACATTCCACAGTCCGCCCCGGCGTCTGTTCCGCCGCGGGGACGGTGCGGCGCCTGGGGTCTCACTTCTGCGAGCGTCGCGCTTCTGTTCGTCCTCGGCGTGTGGCGGCTCGGGGATGGCCTGTGGCGACTGCCAGCCTTCGGCGTGTCGCTCCAGGTGCGGGTGCAGCTTCTCCGCCTCTCCGAACGCCTGGTTGCACAGCTCGCAGTGGAAGTGCTCGCGCCGTTTGAGCTTGCAGAAGGGCCGGACCGCACGCCTGCTCGTCGAGGAAGTGGCTGAAGCTCTCGGAGACGGGCGGCGCCGCCGGTCGTCGCGGCGGCGCCGGCGACTGCAGCAGCCGCGACATCAGGTCCGTGCCTGGCGGAGCGCAGCGCAGGTCAGGGGTCACGTCACAGCCGAGGTCAGACGCCAGATCAAACGCGGGCCAGGAACGAGCGCGCAAACAAGGTCATCAGAGGTGAGCCGAGCCCCGAGCTCTGCGGCACCCCGCGCTCGCGTGCCGCTGGATTCAGGCTCAGTTCACGACGCGTCACGTGGGTACAGCGCAACGCGGAAGGGCTGGTGAGCAAATCACTCTGTAAGCTGTATCTGCAGGACAATTAATATTTTACACAAGCGAACAAATGAGACGACCCGGGGCTTGCTGCAGGAAATGGCAGCAACAAGCTGTTCCCGGATCCCACGCGGCGTGGTCGCCGCCCTCCCACGTGGCTGCCCCTCCCCTCCCTTCCCACTGCGCCCCCGGCGCCGTCGCGTCTGCTGCGTACCAGGCTGCTGCGGCTGGTGCGGCTGCTGCTGGGGTCGCTTGTCGGCGGGCGGCTCGGCCTGCGGTGGCGAGCGCGAGCGGCCGGGGCTGGGCGGCGCCGGCGGCGAGCTCCGCTCCGTCAGCCGCGAGTGCAGCACCAGACCCTGCGGCATGCCGGGCGTGGCGAACGCCGACAGCGGGTAGTAGGTGCCGGCCGCCTTCACCACCGGAGAGCCTGCGGACGGGACGCACTGACGTCAGAAAGGTGCTGGGCGAGACCTTCCCTGCCAGGACGAACAGTCGGCGTGCTGGCGATGGATGTTGGACAAGACCAGGGCGGCAGACGCATGCAAGATGTCAGGCTCATGTTGTACTGTCACATTGTCACTGCGTTCATGTTGGACTGTCAGATTTATCGCCGGACAGAACGAAATATTGAGTGCACCGATGCAAAACCGAGAAATCAAGTCAAATCAAACGCCCTTTGAGTACTGAAATCTCAACTTCCCACTTCACCTCACTGCAAAGTGTGCCCGCTAAGCCTCTGCCGACCGAACACGTGCAGCCTCTGTGAACGGCTGGCAGTTGGAGGGGGGGGGGGGGGGGGGCGGCGGGGCGCGGCTGCGCGGGGCCCACCTGTCTGTCCGTTGGCGGCGGTCGGCGGCGGAGAACCGGCGGCCGCCCGGGCCTTATGTTGTTGGTCGTGCTCCGTCATGGCCAGATAACGCACGAACGAGTGGCCGCAGCCGGGCCGCGTGCAGTGGAAGTGCCGGTTCACCTTGTTGCTGCGGACGGGTCAGGGGTCAGCGAACGAGTGGCCGCAGCCGGGCCGCGTGCAGTGGAAGTGCCGGTTCACCTTGTTGCTGCGGACGGGTCAGGGGTCAGCGACGAGGTCAGGGGAACGGGATGTGCCGCGTCCAGGCTACCGGGGGAAGAGGCTCGACAGCTGTCTATACACTCAATACCGGAACAGCTGCATCCTCTCAGCTGAAGATCAATGGGTGCAGTCAATGGGACGAAGGACACTGCCCCCCGGACGAGATTCATACCAGAAAAGGTGAAACCAGAGAAGAGATTTACACTAAATGCTGCGCGATTTCGCGGGAATGCAGTCAGAACCCGCAGGAGTTTAAAAAAGGAAATACATTTGCCCGCCCCCGAGGAAAATTCTTATTGCATGCCTGTCATAGATCTCACTAGGTTAATCGCTGTAGTTATCATCACCCATTGGGTTACACCAAAGTCAAAAAGCGATGCTATTCGATGATATGGACCGAATTACCGGAAAATCTACCAGGAAACAGCGTCAAGAATATTTCTGCAAGCCAACGATTTTACACGAACAAACTGAAATGATCTATTGACATCGTTACATCTTCTCAACCATGCAACAAATTGCAGAGACAGCCTCACTCACTCAGTCCTCCTCAGCACCCTAATCTCAGACAGCCTCACTCGCTCGGTCCTCCTCGGCACCCTAACCTCAGACAGCCTCACTCACTCGGTCCTCCTCAGCACCTTAACCTCAGACAGCCTCAGTCGCTAGGTCCTCCTCAGCACCCTAACCTCAGACAGCCTCACTCGTTCGGTCCTCCTCAGCACCCTAACCTCAGACAGCCTCACTCACTCGGTCCTTCTCAGCACCCTGACCTCAGACAGCCTCACTCGCTCGGTCCTCCTCAGCACCCTAACCTCAGACAGCCTCACTCGTTCGGTCCTCCTCAGCACCCTAACCTCAGACAGCCAGCCATCTTGCAGTCGACGTCACGGTTGAAGAACACGAAGCCCTCGAGGATGTTGACGTTGTCGTGGAAGTCCCGCGCATGGCTGCCCAGGTCTTCGGTGTCGGCGCTGGCGAAGAAGCAGCGCGGGTGGGCGCAGTGGAAGTGGCGTCGGCCGGCGTGCGCGCAGTCGGCGTCGGTGCAGGTGGCGTCCTCGGCGTACTCCCGAAACCCGTCGGTCGGGTCCCGCTGCGGCGCACCGGGTCTGGTCAGTTGGGCGCACCGTGCGGGCCAGTGCGGCGCCCAGGTCACACTCGTGCTCGGCGGGGGGCTGAAGTCAACACCAAGCGCCGCCACTGGCAGCGTTTCCGCGTTAACCACTCTGAAGGAGAAAGACTCTGAGCTGGTGCAAATAGCCGTCACGCGGCTGATGTAACGATGAAGCTTTTGCTGCAACCTGATCATAATCTTACCATTTATCACTCACATTTCAGCTGCTGACGTAGTTCATGGACAATGAATAGCGGGGTGGGCATGACGTGAGGCCAAATATGCAACAGATGAGGAACTGGCTCTATGTCAAGCAATGACAAGCTGTCGGTTTGCCAACGCCGTGAGGAACTCACGTCGCTCCGTTCTGAAGACTTGCTGCCCGGCTGCACTTCCGTCGGAGAGCTTGCCGATGACGTCACTGGGAGTGAGGGGACGTCCGCGTTCCGAATCAAAGGCCACGGCTTGGGCAGTTTGAACGAACCGAACACCCCGGGTGGAAAGGGCAGCGCCCCGGGCACAGGCACCTGCCGAAGGCCAGTCTGTCAGTAGGGCGACACATACGCACCCCCTCCTGTCCATGATGTTTTTTCTTGAACCAGAGGCAGGTATCAAGCTATCACCTGGGGAGGGGGAGGGAGGGCACCGGCACTATTAATATCTATCCATCTATCTATCTATCTATCTATCTATCTATCTATATATATCTATATATCTATATATATATATATATATATATATATATATATATATATATATACGGAAGCAGAAGGCCACAACAGAGCGGACGTGAAATTTGAGCGAGGCGATCCACAACCTCGCTCACCGCTCATTGTACCGTCCGAATGAAGCTCTTAAGCCCAGGACGGGCTGGCGCGCTAACCGCATCAGCCGACCGGCCGCCGCCGCAGCGAGACGCACCTCAAACGGCGCGGCGCCGGCTGGCCGAGCGCGTCGCTGCAGCATCGCCTCGGGCGACGAGTAAGGCAGCGGCGAAGTGTCCTTGGAGAGCGCCAGCCGGCGCGAGTAGTCGTGCATCTTGAAGTGGTCGAGCCTACGGAACGGCTTGTCGCTGAGCAGGATGATCTCGGAGCAGCCCTCCCAGTTGCAGTGGTAGTGGCGCTCCTTGCCGCGGTACAGGCAGTGCTGCTGGCAGGGGCACGGGTCGTCCGAGGCTGCCACCTCCTCGTAGTACGTCAGCGTCACGTGCTGCTGCTGCTCGTGGTTGCGTGCGTGCTCGAGCGCGCTGTCGCGCGCCTGGAAAAGCACGCCGCACTCGGGCTGGCTGCAGTGGAAGTGCGTCGAGCCCGAGAACTCACAGCCGGCCACGTCGCAGGTGCTGCCATCTGTGAGCTGCAGCACGAAGCGCTGCATCAGCTCGGCCTCCGGCAGGTGCGGCATGTCGCTGGGGTCCGACGACTTCATGTCCTGCGGCGCCAGCGGCTCCAGCGCGAAGCTGGATGGCGTCAGAATGCCTGCCGGTCGGAAGGCGAGTCGTAATCAGCAAACAGCGAGCGACTCAGTGGACACAGCACAGATGTAGGTGCACAGCATCTTGGTGCTGATGGCGACGAGGCGCATCACATTGCATACGGAGGTGTAAGGATTTTGAGCGGCATACGCAAAATTGCTTGCAAGCAAGCGTCCGCCATCATTGTTGCTGTCTGCCGGACAAGGAACACCTCACGAGCAATGGTCCAAACCACTACACAACCCGTTTATGGCCCGACGAAAACACGAGTTACAGTACGTAGCGTGCAGCACTTACCTGGAAACATGGCGCCGAGCCGGCCGTACGGGCTGGCTTTGAGGGCGGCCGACGGGCTGGCCGGCAGCGGCGACTGCACGCTGCAGGGGCTGGTGCTGGGGCTGGGGCTGGGCTGGCTGAGCTGACCCAGCGCCGGCGAACCAGTCCGGGAGCTGAGCTGGGCTGAGCTGAGCGCCGCCGCCAGGGGAAACTGCCGGCCGCAGATGAAGGTCAGAGAGGCGGCCGCTAACGCCCCTGGAAGCCACGGACTCGGCCCAGCCTGGTGGACGCCGACACGCTCGCCGAGGCCAAGGACTATCGGGTCGTGATGAGAACCAACCGTCGTCACAAGAGAGGCCGACGCACGGGGCAAGGCACTGGCCGAGTAAAACAGCTGAAGTGTGTCTTGATGTCAGTACACGGTTTGCAACACGCGAGTGGCCGGGGAGCTACCGCGACTTGATATGTCTGCCATCTACCGGCCACCTGCGAACTATCCCATTATTGCCATAGATGGAGGTGCAGGCGAAGCCTGTCCATACGGGTATCTGGCTCGCCTCCGTGTTCTGAATATCCCTCGGTCATCTAAAAAAGCATTGCTTCCTAGCCACCACGGCTGCCTCCACTTGCCTGATAGCCCAGCATTCTGCAACGATCACCCACCTGTTCGTTGAAGTTCCCCTCCCGCGGTAGGCTCTGGGACATCCGATAGGTTCGGTAGGCCATCTCGCTGTCTTGACGTTCGTGCTTGCGCTGAAAGACAGACATCCGGATATGGTGCAAACATTCATCAGTGTACTGACCTGCGCTCACGCAGAGGTCCGACGTCACTATCACTCGAGGTGATGCGGCTCTATCCACCCGATTACCCTGCGCTGAAGATCGTCATAGATCGGGATGAACATGATGAACATGGGAATGTGTTCTTACAAATGCCGTACACGAAAGCTAACAGAAAACGATCCAAATCGCGTCACAGTCAGATAACACAGCAGAAGATATCGGCTTAAGTGCTGACCGTGAATCAGTCCCGACGGCCATACCGTCCCTGTCAATACAAATTGCGCGTTTAAAGCCACATGGCTCGAAACTGTACACTTAAACTGCACTTCAGCACACCTAGAACGCCGTGTTTGCTGTGTGGAGCCGCTGGAGCAGCGTCGCGTCGTACCTTGTGCGAGTACAGCTGTCCGGACGAGTGCAGTACGTAGCTGCAGCCGGGACGTATGCAGTGGATGTGGTTGCACACCTTGCTGAAGCGGCAGTTCTCAAACGGACAGTGGTCGTGCTTAATATACTTCTTAAAGCCGTCCTTGTTCAACTGTTCGTCCTTAATGTGGTACGTTTTGTGTTTTTCTGTAAGGGGCAGCACGTGGTGAGTGTGGTGCTGCCCTGATGACCTGCGCCGGGTAACGCCGCGCTCGTGGCGGGTCTGGCATCGGTACCTCGGTGCAGTGATCAGACACGCGCCGTCTCGCCGCCAGCTGACGCATGCTGGCACAATACTGACGGCAGGTTTCCACGATAACTTCGCGAGAAGCAGGTGAAATAACAAGCCAGAGATCCATTACTCTTGGCATTAGAATTCAGGCCTATTGACGATGTGGCTTTCGTTACCTTCTATTCTTCGGGGTGGGAACGATTGTATCGAGCCGATACTGTGCCTATTTCGACATCAGGACATAACGGAGGTGGATAGGGTAGGTGGAGGGTAAAGCCGTACGAGTATACCGTAAACAGACCCCAAACTAATCACGACTTGTGACCATGACAATGAGCGCTTCCGATTTTGGGATGCACCAAACTTTTCCCGATACATTTGGTGGGTATAGACCGGAACAGCTTAACATAAGTTGCAATGACAACGAAAGGAAAAGAAGAACATCAGCGACAGTCATCGTCAAATAATTGAAGTAGTACACTTATCAACGCCAAGGCGAAGAGGGAGACGCGCATCCCGTGCTACCAAAACGGCCTGACCCCTCTGAACAGAGGTCAGTGCGCAAGGTCAGCCCCACCTCCGCCGGCCGACCACCTACCCATATCGGCCTTGTTTTTGAACGTGTAGCTGCAGCCGGGCCGCTTGCAGTGGAAGTGGGTGGTTCGCTGGCCCTGGTAGCAGCACAGCTCGACGCCGCAGTCCTCGCTGGCGCGGAACCGCTGGAAGCCTTCCTGCTGGATGGCCGAGTCCTTGCGGTGGTAGTTGGCGTGCATCTGCACGTCCGAGGTGGAGATGTAGACCTTGTCGCAGCTCTCCTGCGGCGGCGGGGGGGGGGGGGGGCGGTCAGACGGGGCTGGCGTCGACAGAGCGGGCGGAGTCAGCGAAGTACATCGGCGCCGCTACCGTCACGCCGCTCCGGGGACCGCGCAGACCTGCAGGAAGCGGATGAGAACATATTGGCGGCCCGTCGCCGTAAATTGCCTCCAGCTGGCGCTGCAAGGAGTTATCGCCGCGCCGCTCCGGGATCAAACCATAAACCACAAGCGGTTAGGTGCATTTGCAAGATGCAGCAGCATCTAAACGCCGCTTCAGAATTTCCAGCACGTTATCGCGGATTCCAACGGCGATTATGCGGACTGCGGTCGTACGTAGCCCCCAGCGGGAGCGGGAGGGGAGGGCATGCCGTCACTGGGCAACGTGAGACGCATGGAACCGACAGCGGCCAGCGCATTTCACGACGTAGTGCGAATGGTGGTCGGTGGGGGATGCCTATGGGTTTTGCGTGGTGAAGTGCACATTCGAACGTGACATCAGCCGTCCGAAGAAGAAGGTTCTAGAATGCACCTGGTGCTTGCTACTAATTAACACCTGTTGGGCTTGCAACGAAAGATTGCCCCTGATCTGAGATGGCTTATCAGCATGGGAACCTGGCCTTCATGCGAGAAAGTCCGGCAAAGAACGACACGACGGCCGAGGTAAGCACAATTGGTGAAGGCACTTTGAAACGGACAATCAGGGACCGGCCGTCCAAGAACTGGTTATGCGAAGGCCTGGCGCCTGGAAAGAGGCATCCATGGGCTGGGGATTCAGGGACTGTATGTCAGGAGTTATGAAGACAGGATGGCGGAGCACCTCAGTTGGGGGCCGCATATCCGAGGACAGGAGGTCAAACGGCTGGGGCAGAACATCCGAGGACTTGGCATCTGGAACTCAATATCCAAGGACTGTACATTAGGCAACAGAATATGCGGGAACAGGACGGCCGCGGACTGAACGCTCACGGTCTACGCATTGGTGACAGACTACCTCAATACTGGATTTACAGGACTGGGCGTTTGAGTGTCGAATATATAGGCACTGACGCCCTGGGAATGTACATACGAGGACCGGATATCCCACCAACGGATATCCAAGAAATGGGTGTTTTCTCGGACTTGATGTCCGAGAACAGGATATCCAAGGGCTGAACATCTGTAGACTAGCTATGCAACAGCCGAACAGCCAGGAACTGGGAGATCCACTTGACGCCATCCGAGGCCTGGGGGTTCGAGGTGACGGCGTCCGAGGCCTGGAGCCGCGGCGGCTGGACGTCCGAGGGCCGGTAGCCGCGGCGGGACGTCCGAGGGCCGGGAGCCGCGGCGGCTGGACGTCCGAGGGCCGAGAGCCGCGGCGGCTGGACGTCCGAGGGCCGGGAGCCGCGGCGGCTGGACGTCCGAGGGCCGGGAGCCGCGGCGGCTGGACGTCCGAGGGCCGGGAGCCGCGGCGGCTGGACGTCCGAGGGCCGGGAGCCGCGGCGGCTGGACGTCCGAGGGCCGGGAGCCGCGGCGGCTTGACGTCCGAGGGCCGGCCGCCACACGGAAGCGCGGCGGCGGGTCGCCGCGCCGGTGCAGGACCACCCCAGCGGGCGCTGACGCTGGCGCCGGTCCGGTGACCTCATGTCTCGTTGGGCCGGCAATGTCGCGCCGCCGTGCAGTGGCCGGCGCCCGTCCGCGGCGGCCCGACCGCGCGGCTGCGCGGCGGCAGCGGCCACCGCAGGCAGCCGCCGCAGCCACCCCGGCCCGGTGACGGCCGCGTGACCGGCGGAGGAAGGGCAGAGGCGGGGTTCAGGCGTGGATCAGGTGCCAGGCGGTTGCCGCGGTTACATGTACGCTGCGGGGGAACGACCGGACCGTTGCCTCCCCTCCGGCGGAGCACTCGTTACGCATGCCTTGCCGATCACTCACAATGCAGCCGTTAACCCAGCCGACGCCTGTATTGGGCCATTAGGATCGTGAGCAAGTGTGCAAACTGGCGCCGTTCGGCGCTGCCCAGCTGCACAACTGATGCAAAACTCGAGAGGTGGTTATTTTCGGGTTGACAAATGGCGCCCAGCGCGCGGCGCGGGCCGTTACTGCCGGGTCGGCTCGTGAGCTCGGCCCTGTAAGTCGTGGCGACGCCCCGTGACCCGGCCGTGGCCTGCCGCTCGCCGGTGACCGGTCGCAGGTCGGGCCGCACGCCGCGCCGCCGGTCAGCCGCGGCTCGTGGCGCGCCACCCCGGCCGCGCGTCGCTGGTGCGAACACCGCCAAGCGGCGGAGCGCGGCGCCGTCAGTGGGGCGCGCCATCTGCGGACGAGCTGACGGGCCGCTGCCAGTCTTGGTCGCTGTGTGCGATTAGCTCCATTCACGTCAAATGCGCCAATCATTGCGGCTGATACCGAGGTTTGCAAGGCCGGGATGACACCAGGTTTTGTGGTACACGACGCATACCGATGATAATTCTTGCACGGTGGCGTCTGCTCATATTTTCACGAACGCATTTGTCAGCTTTACGAGCGAAGTGTCTGAGGGCGAGAATGCATACTAGATTCTTTCAACTTGCCCGCGGATGTCAGGAATAATTTGCTACGCGCAGCACAAGTGTTTGAACCGTCCATATACCAGTTTCAAACCTCGTCATTTGCATCGCTATTTACGAAACGGCTCGACCGGTTCATGCTCCAAATGTCGTCGTTGGTCGTTGGTCGTTGGTCGCTGGGCCGCCGGGAAGCCCTGACGACGGCGTATGGCGTCATGTCGTGAATGACATCACAGACCCCCGAGAGCTACACGGGCCGCCTTGAATCATGGCTGCAGAGCGCGGCGGCGTACGGCGCGGCTGGCTATTGTCCACCGTCGGCGCCCGAGGTCGCGCCCGCCGGGGTCGGATGGGCCGCGTCGCGCAGCTCCACAAGGTCGGCGGGTCGTCGCTCAGGAGCGAGCCGGGCCAAGAGCTATCGAGGGCGCTAGCGGCTACGGTGCTGAGGCCGAAGCCAGGTCATGGGCTTGAATCCGGGTCATTCTGCACAGCCTGCCGGTTCTTAAATGATGGGCGGCTCAGAGCTTCTGCCGCCACCCACAGGGCCACCTCCGATTAAGACGTAGTGACGGTCAGATGGCTAAATCAGCCAGACACTTAGTTGGTAAACAACAGCTCGCAGACGACACGAACGATTGTTGGCGCAGGTACCCCATCAGCGCATTGATCGCTTTGCCCCGTCATTTCGCAGAGCCGGAGTGGTGAGCTGGCCTGACGAGCAAGTCGGCCAACACGGCGTGGCGTCCCCGCACGACGGAGCGGCGGGAGGGCGGTGAACGCGCCGGCGCCCAGCAGCAGCCGCCAGTGATGAGTTCACCCCGCACCGGAGAGCCTCGCCTTCGACCTCGCAGCCGGGCCGAAGGATTCCGGTCAACCACATCCGTGTCCCGACCTCCCAGTCGGCGGACATCGAAAAACATGGCGACAGACCCGGCGAAAAGGCATTCTCTATTCGGACAAAGCCGGGCTTGTCCGCGCGGCATCTGCAGATGGCGGCTTCTGCTTTATCGAGTGCTTACGCTGAAACCCTCCTGCGATGGTTTACAGAGTAAAAAGCAAACCATGACTCTCAGTGTCGGATAAGTAAAATACGGAACTGTTTATGGATCTTGTCGCGAGCTGACGTCACCGGGAAGACGATAATTGATTGGCTAATTTACAGACGGTGAGCGCCAATCGGCTTTCTCGACCTGACCGCGGATGCAGGCTGCTGATAATTCGTCCGATTTAGAGCGAAATTTGCATGAGGCCGTGCAGGATTCCGACCTCTGCTGCAGACGTGACAGGTGATCCTATCAGCGACTGCAGACGGCAGACGAGGCACATTTAAATGCATCCATGGACTCTGCTGCCCGGGCTTCACGAATATATGGAGCACAGACGCGTCACATTTCTAATCTGCCGCTGGAGACGTCATGATCGCCGGGCGGCCCTGAACACTGCTCCGACAGATGCTGCGGCACTGTGCTCGACGCATTCGATAAATCGGTGGCATACGGCAGGCATCAAACCGAATTACACACACTCGCGCGTCGCGCTTGTGGGCAATGGGACGAAAATAACTATTGTAGTTGACACGCCCTTAAGACCCAATAACTGACTTATGCGCATTGGCCGTGGCATTGCAGAGGCTACGTATCACCATTGCTATGCATCGATCACTAACTTTCATCGCCATACCGTGTCATGAATTTTTTATTCGGACGTCTCTATCCTAAATGCTGAGCAGCTTTACAGACGTCCAAGTCTCCAAGCCAAAGCCTGGAATGCCCTGATGCGGTAGTGGCGTAACAGCGCTGAGGTGCCCTGCCGAGCGCCTGGTCACGGTTCCAGGGCCTTCCAGCCGTGATTTTGGGCCGGTCTCAAAACTTCGGAGGTTGACATCCGACTGGAGGTCTTCGCGAACCGAGCGCCACATCCCGTCACGACAGCGGCCACATCGCACCAATCGGCGACATCGTCTGAACAGCGGCGATGTCGTCACCCTCGTCGTCAACTGGGCGGCACACGTCGGCCATGAGTCACGTGGTATTCCCGCCGCCATCAAGTGCAGCAGACGTCAGCTCCAATTGCCGTTCCGGCGTGGGTCGGCACGCACTAACACCACCGTGCAAAGCGTCCGACAGCGGACCCGACTCACAGGCGCCGCGGATCCAGCGACCGGCTCCCCGCCCCTGCAGCGGGGCAGCGCCTGGCTCCCCAGCAGCGGGGCGGCGCCCGGCTCCCCGCCCCTGCAGCGGGGCGGCGGCCGGCTCCCCGTCCCTGCAGCGGCGGCGCCCGAGCCCGGCGCGGACACGGCAGGGCGTCACGGTTCCGGGGACACTTAAGTCCGAGCTTATGTGTTTACCGGCCAAGTACCGACATTCCACGGAAGTGGTGGCGACGACTGCGTGTTCGTGACAGGCAGCGCCGGCATTCGATCGCTCCGCACGGCCTCGGTGCGCCACTAATGGGTATTGAGCAGAGTCTGCCACGTTATGCGGGCGGTCAGGACGTTGGTGGACACAAGAACGTTTGGACCACGCTCCCATCCTTCGGGTCCCGGCCGCGCGGCTTACAAGTCCAGTCCACGTGATTCGCAGGTGAACCGAACGGCCCGGACCACGTGGTCCGTGCTTCCCAGTCTGGGCTAGGCGGTCTCGACTAACTCAGTGATGCGACTCGCAGACGGACTAAACGGTACGAACCGCATGAGGTGGTGGGCGCATAAGGTCGGATTTGAGAAAAATAAACGGCAATCGAGAGAGAAGTGGCGGAGTCAAGAATACGTTAACCATCCCACTGAATATATGACGCAGTATATAACGTCAGAAAATATTGCTTCAAGCAGTCATCAGATAATAACCATAAGTAAACTGAATGACCTCGTGCTCATGCTATTCATCACAATGCGAAAACGTACACCATCATCAATGTCGAGTGTCAGGAAATCCTGCCATACTCCATAGATCGCGCTTGGCGCAAGTCTGCGCCAGTCTTTCCGGCTTCATCACTCCGGAACCATCTGATCGCCGCATTGCCATTCCACGAAACCATATCACGAAAACCGTTCCACCTACTACTGTAATCAACCGGCTGGGACCGTTATGATTGGGGCCAGCAGAGGTGGACTGTCAGCAGCGGCGCTGCCCGGCTGTCATTAGCCCGGACAGCGCCACTCTTCACATATACAGAGGCTGGTCATGGTGCTTACCGGACACAGAGCACACAACGTACAATGGCAGCGTCAGTGACGCCACAAAGGCCAGAGGAGTGCAGAGGATAACACTGATCGCCTCCAATTGAGCCCAATTGTTCGCACATTTGTGCGAGACCGCTGCGCATCGAAGGCAAAACGGAAAATTATTTACCGTGAGTGACACAAGCTGCACAAAACCCCGACTCGTCCAGGCTGCACAGGTTCATCACGGCCTGTCACGCAGGCGGGCTCCCGCCTCTAACATAACGACACGTGCAACCAGAGGCGCGGATGTGGCGGCCGGCGTATTTACCCACTTCCCCATACCACCAACGACGTCGGCCTTGCCGGCTCTGGGTTATCGTGGCATCGCGCGGTGCGCGCCGGTGGCGGCCGCTCTGCAATGGCTCGGCGCCGACAGTGTTTGACAGAACGGGCGCCCACCGTCACCGTCAACACCACACATCCCAGCCGAGAAAAAGTGGCTCGTCGAGCCGACGCGTCACACCGCGCTGCGATGATGACCAGCACGCGCTGGCCGCACTTCCGGTCAGGCTGTGTACCTGCTCGCAGAGTTGGCGCGCGCGCGGCTGTCGGCTCGCGGCTGTTTGGCGATGTCGGCTGCATGCGGACACGTGCTACCGGTGAGATGACACGCCGATTTCAGGCGCGCTCGCGGCCAAAACGTTCGGGGATGTTATCGGCATTGACGGTCGGGAGCGGAAGCCACTCGTTCGCTAACCCAGAGACAAACGTCACGCGGCTATCTCCAGCCAGTGCTGCTATCATCTTCACCCGGACAGCAGCGGGTCTGCCACTCAGTGAGCGGTGAGTGTGAGCGTCCTCTCGCCGTGAGGACGGCGCGGTGTAAGCGCCCTCTCACCTCTCAACCGGCACCGCGGCCCGAGCATCGCTCACCTTGAGGCAGTGGTAGTGGGTCTGCTTGCGGTTGTGGCTGCAGTCGGGGTAGCGGTCGCCGCAGTCGTCGGTCGGCGAGTAGCGCATGAAGCCGTGCTGCAGCGAGTCGTCTCGCTTCTTGTGCCACTTGAAGTGGCGGATCATCTCCTCCTTTTTCACGAACACGCGCGAGTTGCACTCCAGGCAGTGGAAGTGCTCCCTGAAGAACAACGACCCATCTTCATTCGTCTGGCACGTCATTTGTAACACTCAGTCCGCACCCTCCCGGCCTGGCACAACAACGCGGCCAGTGGAGCCCAGCAAAAGCGGGCTGCCCTTCACATCCGCCCACTTTGAGTTCGGCGGTAGTCTTCCGCCGATTCCCCCGGCTCAAACCTGCAACACTCTGGCCTCTTCGGCCAGCCCGTGTGCAGGGATTAGCACCGTCCGATTATAGACCTCCCGTTCCCTTGGCCCGCGGTTACGGACCCGTCCGCCGCATGGTCCTGCGATAGTCCCACTCGTTCCGTGGCCATGCGACTCCTGCCCCTCCCCTGCCTGTCCTAGACCCCCGCAATGTATCCACATATCCCGGGGCTCCACCACAAAGTGATGTGCTTCCTGTGGTCCTGGTGGCGTCTCGGGGTCACCCGGAAGGCCCTCGGGGCGGCCTGGCGGGGCCTCGGGGTGGCCCAACAGGTCATGCTGGGCCCGGCCGGCGGCCATCTGTCGGATGCCGTCTGTCTGTCTGTCTGTCTGTCTGTCTGTCTGTCTGTCTGTCTGTCTGTCTGTCTGTCGGATGCCGTCCCCATCGGCGTGACGACCGGCGCCGGCTCGGCGACAGGCGCCGTTTGCCGGCTCGCTCGAGGCGTTCCCGCCGACAATTTTGTCCGCGCCGCGCTCCGCTAAACGTCGCAGGGACGCCAGGCGCGTAATTGAGCGTGTGGGGCGGCCGTCCCGTGACCTGGAGGCAACGGCGGCGGCGGCAGGTCCGAGGTATTGTCCGACGGTCAGGTCAGTCCAGGTCACGGTCAAGTCAGGTCAGTCCAGAAGATCTCTACTCGACTGACTGACCGAGGAAGACGATCCCCCACATCAGTGTAGTCAACGAGACTGCGCCGTGAACCGGTCATG